CGTCGATTGATTTTCCCTCTTTGCCCAACACTCTACGCCTAACGTCAACATTACTTACCTTATTAAACCACCTAACGTGAGACACAGATCGCAGACATCTATGATCGAAAGCAGTCAACCTTTTCATGTCTTCAACGCGTATTGGATTGTGAGGGCGTTTGTTACTTCCCGGCTGCCCACACCGTGGAAGTTGGTTGCGTGACCGCAGAGCCCAGGGGACAACTGCTTGAGGCCGGTCACACGCGGCCTGTTTTTGTTTGTTCTTTTTTGTTTGGTGTGCCTCAGTAGCATACTTATCACTCCCGCCCTGTGACACGGCAGCAGGAAGCGCGGTCGTTGTTAATCCGGGCCACGGCCGATCCGGCATGAAATTTTGTGAATTTGTTTGGATCATGGTATTGGATGAGTTAGCTGCTTTTTGTTTAACCGCTATCTAAACAACCTGCCTGGCATGGTAGAACCTCAAGAGACATAAGTCTCAGCCAGTATAGCTTGATTAGGTCATTGCGGTGTTCAAGCCCGACCACCACGTCAAGGTAGCAGCTTTCGGTCGGCGTATTGGCCATGTTTCAGAGCCATAGACAAGGACGGAGCGAACTGCTGAGCAGTACACACGTCCCTTGGTTGATAACCGGATGTCACGCCTACGCCAGAGATGGTGTAAGTCAGCGAAAGCAGCTCGAGCTTTTCGGATCCGTGCTGAGATTTCATCGCCAATCAGTCCGTTGGTGCTAATACAACTTGAGATGCCATTCATTGACTTCAGCACTGCACTCTTTTAGAGAATGGATTCCGGATTCACACTTCGACCCACCTCACTCAGCCTAACCAACTGAATAGTATGATAAGCTCTCATACAAGAAGTATATTTTATAGCCCGACACATAAGAAATGTAGCGGAGAAATGCACCAGTTCAAGTTAGCAAACGAAGGTAGTAGGGAAAATAAATAAATAAAATTCAAAGGAAAGAAGAAAAAATACGAAGTTCAGCAAAGATATCTTTTCGGCGATTTCAGTTTTAAAACCTGTACAATTGCATTTAAATACATCATTTTACATAGATACAATTTTTACTTGACTCCATGTAATGACGAAGGCGAATAAAAGGCTTGATAGTGTGAAATATTCCCATATTATGAATTAAAAGTTAATCTGAACGAAGAATATTCTTTTGAGTAATTTCTCTTTAGGTTCTTACAATTATAAAATATAATATTCGTTGTCGTTACAATAACGGCCAGTTTGTCACATAAATACGACCATTTATTTTGACACCCGATAACTAATCTGTTATTCTACGTTAAAAATGTATCCGCTGCATAACTGGCCTTTATTGTAACGACAACAAATATTATATTTTATAATTGTACGAATAAAAGGTGACAATTATTTTCAACTACATATAGTGTACAGTTAAACTGAGTCAGGTAGGGAGATGCAGACTCCCGGGTCGGGGGCCTCGGGACTCTAGGAATCAATGGCTGGAGACAATAGATGACATGGCTCAAAATCGTTGTCAATGGCCAGCACAGATGTATTCAGTCTCTGTAATCTTTCATATTCCTTTCTACCATTACCCATTCTATTTCACTCTTATACTAGTCAAACTCTATTGATTCTCTTCACTCATCTTCTTGTCTACCTCTGTGTGCTATTTGGAAGGTGGCAACTCGAAGTGCTGCACTTCGGTGCCAAGTTCTATGTTGAATCCAGACAGACAGACAGACGAGAGGCTTTGAAAGAAAATTACACAGGATTAGAACGAATTACAAGTGTGCAAAAAGTGAGCATGAAGACAAATTGAGATAATAATTTTCAACTTGAAATGGAAGTTATGAGGTCTGAATGTAGATTACAAGAGCCTTAGGAACTAAAAATTACGCAGGATTAGGATATAACTGTAAAATAGTTATTTTAAACGAATTATTAATGTAAGGAGGAAAAGCATGGAAATCAACTTAAAATAACTGTTCTAGTTGAAAATAATTGTCACCTTTTATTCGCCTTCGTAATTATATGGAATCAAGTAAAAATTGTATTTATGAAAAATTATTTATTTCAATGCGATTGCACAGCTTTTGAAAATGAAATCACCGAAAAGATATTGTCAAGGTACTTAATCCTAAGATCCTATTATTTCCGAAAAAACTCCGAATCAACAACCACTAACTAAGCACAGGTATCTACTGTAATTCCCAAACACAATGCATGACAAGAAATTGTAATCTTCGATTGTTAAAATCAATATTCTCTACTAAGTCTATAAAAAAAATATTTTTACAAAGAATGTATTGTACTTTTATTCGTATTCTTTCGTCTTCTACACGATCGAATCACTCGCGCCTTCAAGTTGCCCACCAATGGCGACCAAGGCCAATGAACTAATGTTCGGTGTTCATAATCATCGACAGATAACTTTGTTGAACTTCGCGTTCTGTTCTTTCTAATGTTCTAATGGGTATTTTCCACGATCTGAAAATTCAAAAGAACAATAACAATTGAGTCATGTCACCAACAGTCTCAAGCCATTACTCGAACGAACAGTCGACGACTTCACGAACTGATACTAGGTTTTAGATTTGACACAAACACACACACACACACACCTTTTGCAACCTAAGTTACAGTTCAAGGGGCTGTTCAGGCAATTTGAATATACTGTGCGGATTGAGTGATGACAATGTATTCCAGGAAACCGAGTTCTAACAAAAACTCCTTTGATCCAACAAATATGGATTACTGACAAATAATTGTCACTATCAATTACCAAACATAATGAGCTTGTATGAGATACACTTATTGTTTATAAGGGTAAATAATAATCGCCTAATTCCTCAAGATGAAGTAGGTGGACGAGGTGCAGGTGTAACTAGAGCCCGGAACCTATTGACTGGAATTCGACTGCTTTAATCAATAAGCCAATTGTAGAGTAGAAAATAATTAAACAAGACAAATCACAATAGGGGAATAACTCATTTCCATTTCACATTTGAAAAAAACAAACAAACAGCAAAGACAAAATGCAATAAACTTCTTGATATATATATGTATATATAAATATTGAAATTCGAAACAAAAATAAACAGTGATGATGATGATAATAACAATAACTGCGGAATATTGAAATACATGTATACATACATACCTACACACATACATACATACATACATATACACATATAAGTTTTAAAACAATTCATTACACTAATGACTCACAACAGAACACATCCAACTATCAATCCATAGTCAGCTGTTATATAAAGAGAGAGAAAGTGACATATAAAGACAGATAGATCATAATAGTAATAATAATAATAATAGTAATATAACCACTATATAAGAATATGAGATCATTATCCTTCCTCAATAGGAAAATAAAGCGAAATGACTGCTTACAAAGTGTAACAGGCATTTTACAAAAATAATAATAATAATTATGCTCCAATATTAATGAATCAATACCATACACTCATCACATCACAATGAAATGCAAAATACACACGGAAAGAAATAACTGTAAGCGCGAATAAAATGGATTTCAAAAAAATTGAAAACTTGAAAACAGAGGGGGAGAGAAAAACACAGACAACACACAAACAAACAAACAAAAGTGTATGCAAGATAGATGATTGAGTACATATCAGACTATATGGAAGAAAAAAATACGAGAATGACAAAACTCCAAAAAGAAACAAGAGGAAAAAAAAAAGGTACGCATTAAAAACATACAAAAATATAGAGATAGACAAATGGATAGATCAGTACGTATGTATATGTGTGTGTGTGTGTACTATAAATAAAACAGTTAAATTCTGCACATATTACTAGTACTACTAGTACTCATTGTAAGTAGTATGCCAACGTTTTTCCTAAAGAAGAGTAGATACATCGGCAAAAAAATTTTTTATTCATTATTACTATTAGTTGATTGATTGATTGTATAATTATATATATATATATATATATATATATTTGTTACACGATTAAAAAAAGCGCTAACACCGAAATGGAATAGACGGACTCCTCAAAGAAAATATAGCCGAATTACAAATATCATGAAATCAGAAAATTACTGACTAACTGATTGACTGACTAGTTGTATTGTACGCAATTAATCATAATTTACACGTTAATAATAGTTGTAATTGACAAGTAGAATATCCTACATAGAAGCTGAACCAATAAAAAAGCATCAAAATATGATTAAAATTTAAGACTGTTTTTCTTCTAAAAACACACAGGAGCTCCCAGATACACTGAAATAGAGTAAAAATGTGAACAGTAATAACACTCAAGTGAATTGAAGTAAATCACATAGTCTACAGAAATGCGTAAACATACACAGACAACATATCCATGATTGGAAGCATCAGAATTACAAAATATAAATAAATAAATAAATAAAGAGGAATTAAATTGAAAACAGCAGATGAAATGCAAAGACGACGACAAAGGAACACGCACACACACACACACAGACACACAGAATGAGAGAAAGATTATGACCACATGTATATGCACTGTTGGGGAAAAAAAGAAGGCAACAGCAGTTTTATAATACATACTATTTTAAAATCAAATCAAATCAAAAAAATAATAGGTATGTAAATCGAAAAATATATATTTATGTGGATTGTAATATGTGTTCATCATTTGTTTTACTCTTCACCTCTTTCTTATTCCTCTTCAAAAACAAACAAGACATCTCGTCCCACATTACTACTCCTCCTTCTCCTCCTCGACTGCTACACAACTGTGTGACAACAATGACAATAAGAACAGTAACAACAACAACAATAATAATAATAATAACGAATACTAATCTCCGAATTTCAATCAACAATCACTTTTCTGAGATGATAGATATTGACTCATCAAAAGTATGAGTTCTTTCTTACTGTCTTTCTCTCTTCGCACACAATACACACCGAGATTCTTATACAATACACACAAACTAGAGTATGCAGTTATATATATATATATATTTTTTCTTTTAATTTCAAAAGTAAGCTGTTTGATCATGATTCTTTGGTGATCTTAATGCAATACTTTGTTTGAAGTCGGTTAATTCCTTTGTCAACTTTAGTCGAGTATAATAGGCTGATAATGAGCCAATAAATAGGGTCTATTGTCAAAAAAAAAGAAGGAAAAAGGAAAGCATAGGATTTAAAAAAAACAATACCCCACTTATGCATATATATATATGTATATATCACCGAAAATACCCATTGAGTCATGAAGAAAATAAAAGACAATTCAGCGTAGGAAATTTTCTTTATCATCTTCAGAGGTTGTACAGCCGTATTTATATTCATGGATAATCCCCATCCAGACATTAATGAAAACAAAACACGTAGTAGATCAGTGAAGAGTCTATTTTCGGCGGCGAATTCATTTCCTTAGCTGTACAATCGTAAATATATATGTGTTGCTTTGTAATGTATGTGTATATTAAGTCAGTCCAAAAAAAAAAAAACAATTGGTTATGGTTATTCTAACTAAACAGGTGAAGTCAGAGTGAATGAACATAGACTTTGCACGAAACGTCCACCTAGAAATGAAGTAGAATTAAAAAGTCTAAAAAAAGATCGGCTATAGCAATACATGCGATAGACAGCGGACATAAGATTGATTTCGACAATGTCGAAATTCTTGGAAGAGGATTTCATTCACATAAAGAAAGATTGACTTCAGAAGCCTTGCACATTTTAACCACATCAAATGCAGTGAATGTGCGTCGGTGGCACAGCGGTTAGGACGCTCGCCGACCATGCACATGGTCCGGGGTCCGATCCCCGGCTGACGCACTCCCTCACCTCATTGAGCCAGAAATAATGCTGGTAAAGAGGAAAGGTTGGGCATGAGGATAGCAACCCCATCCCGTAAAATAACCACCACTGCTACAGAAACTTCAAGCCACTAGCTTGAAGCCCTGTGTTCCACTGGGAATGTGAACGAAAACATTATTATTATTATTATTATTATTATTATTATTATTATTATTATTATTATTAAATGCAGTGAATAGGAAAGAAGGTATAGACTTATCACCTATATGGCAAACTCTTATGAAGCAAGACAAATGAAAAAACAACAAACACTCTATGAGCCTCCATGACCTTTAAAACATGTAGTGACACGTTTATCACATATGAATTCACGTATTTTCCATATGACAGATAACATACATACACACACACACACACATACAAATCTAATCTTTACAAATCAACTATAGAAGAGTAAACACGACAACAATTTGACAGTCATTACAAATATATGTGAGGACAGCTTACATACTTCTATTGGTAAAAAATGATCATGGAGAAATGACCTTCAAATAAACTGACTTCATTTTATGTAAAAAAAATATTTTTTTGACTATATATTTTGATGATTTAATTATAATCCGAATATATCTGCTGAAGAAGCTGTGACTTACACGGCGAAACGTTCAGAAAAATCTTGTTTTGAATTTCTTAACACGCTGGGATTAATTTAAATAATTTATAATGAATCAATCTGACTCAGCGCTCAAATTATTCCAGGAAATTCGTAACACCTACGGTCTGAAAACCTATAATCTTAAACAGGTGAAGGTTGGTAATACAAGTCACGAAAATTAAGTGTTAATGAAATTAGGGTAGTAACAAAGGTGATGAGTTGTCACAAACAGTTAGTTGTTAAAACAGAAGTTATGTAACAATAATATGAATAGTTTGATGAGTGAGTTTTACTCGGGATGCACATAGAAACAAAGTAGATAATACGAAATTATGTAGGAGATCTAAGTGAATACAAGAATTATAAGCAATTAAAGAACAGGCAAAGAAACAAATTTAAGTCATCAAAACCAAAAAAATCCAAATCAAATCAAAATTTGTTACCATGAAAGTAGAAGTGGTTGAATAATCCACTCTAGCATGCGCAGTTCCGGTTTTTCTATGTGAATGGCCAGAGCTTCAGTGATATAAGGAAGACGAAACCGTATTGCCTTTGATAAATTATTATTGACTCTGTAGATTACTTTGAAGCAGGAGGCGTTTGTTCAGATGCAATGATCGGTGTTAACCCGGTGTTCAATTATCGCACTCCTTATTGCACCAGTGTTACCTTTTCGCAACCACGCTGACTGAATAGTGTTCTTGAATCCTCTTGGACAGGATGCGCGTCGAATGACCGATGTACCTGGCTCTACAACAGCAGGTGAACTGATATATGCACACAGAAGTGGCCAGATGCAGGATCTTGTCCTTGAGGCTTCTGCAGATCAGTGGGCGACTGGAGAACACTATTCTTAGCGTTGGTGCAAAGAATGTTCTTCTCAGAGATGATGTGATCCTTCTCTTGAGAATATCGCTTGTTAAATCTCCTTGAAATCCAAGTTCATGTAGAGTTTCTTTTTAGGCGCAGTTAAAGTTTCGTTTCTTCGAATTATTGGTTTCATATTCTTGTCGACGAATCTTATTGGGTATTTTGACTTTGGGTATTTCTTGACTTGTATTACCAACCTTCACCTGTTTAGTTAAAATAACCTTAACTAATTATAATACTTGTATTCACTTAGACCTCTTACATAATTTCCTATTATCTACTTTGCTTCTATGTGCATCCCGAGTAAAACTCACTCATCAAACTATTCATATTATTATTAGATAACTTCTCTTATAACAACTAACTGTTTGTGACAACTCATCACCTTTGTTACTACCCTAGTTTCATCAACACTTAACTTTCTTGACTTGTATTACCAACCTTCACCTGTTTAGTTAGAATAACCATAACCAATTGTATTTTTGTTTGACAAACTTAATGTATACATACATACAAAGCAACACATGTATATATATTTGCGATTGTACAGGTAAGGAAATGAATTCGCCGCCGAAAAGAGACTCTTCGCTGATCTACGTGTTTTGTATTTATAGTCACCAAAAGATGTATAATAGCCAGTTATTGAGTTGTAGTTGTGGGGGACATAATCAATATGATTACTCAGAAGTGGCTTCAGAAGTAAAAATAAAAGTTATAATTTTTTTTGATTGTAGCCTCATTTCACACAGTACTTTTTGTACAAGTATGGAATTTTCAATCAATGATATTGATAGCCCAAATTTTGCAGGCCAACAATTGATAATATCAGGTGTACGTCGGCAGGGGATCAAACCCCGAACCATTTGCATGGTCGGCGAGAGTCCTAACCACTATGTCATCGATATACACAACAGCACAAAGGAAGAAAGTGTTAGAAATCTGATAAGGTTAAAATTGCTACTGAATGAGAAGAAAGGTGGTAAGCTTGAGTGTCCAATTAACAAGTGTGAAGAGGGTGAGGAAATGTCCAAAAGGAAGATGTGGGAGTGATAATAGTGAATTAATTAATAAAGTAAAAGCAAACTAATCACTAAAGATAGGAACAAAAATAAAAAATAATACAGGGAACGACTGATGAGAGAATAGACAAATATTTTATGTATACATAATTTGAGGTTGTATTGACAAATTGCCAATGCCTCCGGCATACATAAATGTTGAAACATGATGCCCTTTGTACCATTCGATCTTACCTTGTAGATAATCGTGAAAAACAAGTCTGGCGGGGCTATGTGGCTTGAGTTTACCACGTGCTAACCTAATATCCTACAAATGGCGTTAGGTTTCGGCATTTGTGTATGACTGAGGCGTTGTCAATTCGTCAATACAACCCCGAACTCTGTATACATAAAAAGATCGTCTAGTCTCTTATTCTACCATGATATTAACCTTTTCATTAGCTGTCCTCCGTAATGTTTAATTTTATCATAGTGATTAGTTAGCTTTTACTTTGATAATTAATTTAGTATTATCACTCTCACACGTTCCTTTTGTACATTCTCTCACCCTTTTTACACTTGTTAAATGGACACTCAAACTACCACCTTTCTTCTCAAGGAATAACAATTTTAACCTTATCAAATTTCTAACGCTTTCTTCCTTTGTGTTGTTGAGTATGTCGTAATTTATAACTTTTATTTTTACTTCTGAAGCCACTTCTGAGTAATCATATCAATTATGTCACACACACACACACACCCTACTACTCACTCAATAATTGACTAGTATACACTTTTTGGTAAATATAAACACGCTGTACAGCCTCTGAAGATGATTTCTTCGACATATATACAAACTTGTAGTTATTGTAAGATGAACTTTTAGGCTTGATTGGAATGTTTACACTGTGAATTTATAAGAGTTAATTTAATATACAAACTCGTTTGAGATGAACAATTCGTATTTAACCACGAAATACAAATATAATTTCAGACCACTGAAGAGATACTTAAGAATCCAATTTAAATATTTTTTTATTATAGCTTGATTCCACACCGCATTTTTGGTACCAGTATGGAATTTTCAAGATGTGATATCAGTAGCCCAATTTTGCAGGCCGACCATTGATACCGGGAATGCATCGGCAGGGGATTGAACCCCGAACCATGTGCATGGTCGGTGAGAGTCCTAACCGGTGTGCCACCGACGGGATTTTGATCCTTAAAAGTTGATTTAAATAATGGTATACAACAAGTTTGATCTAAATCTCAAATGACATACTAATAAACAAACAAATTGGCATTTACCACCAAAACTAGGAGTATTACTCAACAACCTTTTGTATTTCAAAACAGTTGTGTGTGACAGCTACTGATACCACCTCGCTTCCTCCAAACCTCAAGCGATAGATGGGGTGAAGCTTGAAACTATATGACCTAGTGGTTAGAAGTCAAGTACCCAGAGGAATGAGCCATAGCATCATAGCAACATTTGATTGAACGTATGAATTAAAATAACTGAATTCAGTATTTTGATTAACAGTAGGAATGTGCACATTGAATTCATCATTTGATCAACTCGTTACTTGAACACATCTTTGTTCTAATTAATGAGATTTGAACTTAGATTAAATGTTCAATCAAAAGAGAATTACCCACTAATTTACAAAGTCATAAGAAATAACTTTTATATGATCAATGCTACTAATTCCTAAGACCTCATCACTACGCCTACCAGCATTACTCACTCATTACAAGAATACACCATTCTAGATTCTTTGGTTGTTTAAGTGTACTAAAACAACCAATATCGCTTGATAAATTTCCCGCGCAAATCAATATTCAACAAAAAAAATGACTGAGGTAAGATAAAAGCAAGTGTTAAGTATGTGAAAACAACAAAAAACCTTTCTAAAAAGGACCAGGTTTCATAACAAAAGTTGTAGTATTTTAAATGACTAGATTGACTGTGAACTGACACGGTCTACACCAAGATTATGTTAGAACAGTTTGTAAGATTGTTTACTAAATAATCATATTCTGAACAGTTGTTTATGAAAAAGAAGAAGTGTAACCTGAGAATCCTGGGCATGTTTCGTCCAGTTTGAGACTCGTCATTTACATATTGTGTGCATCTCCAGAAAGTAATGACATTACCCCACTGACACTGGAACCTACCGCCCACCCCATTTATAAATCTAAGTATTATCCATTAGAATACTGAATAATTAAGGCATCACACTTAAGTACCCACAACTAAGAGTCGATATGTCAACAGACAATGAACACACACTGTAACCCCATAAAGTCATAAATATTAACAGGAAATTTAAAATATGTGTTTCACCACAAAAAAAGGTACGAAGTTTTTTAGAAACCACAATGTGATTAACAATTGTACAATAGTTTCAGTGCTCAGCTAGCCAATAACTAATCGTTTATGAGGTTTGACATATTTTTGTTGATTGATAGTAGAGTACATGAAACTAATTTTGGAAAACATGTGTGTACGCAGTCTATTTAGGTGTTTTCTTTTACTATTATCTAATGATTGATTGACTGGAAAAGAGCTAGCGTCGGTCAAACAAAGATATGGCCTTACCAGTCAATGAAATCTACAATAGTTAGTCGAAGCCACGTAGGAAGGTGTTGACTTCCTGACTGGTTGGGGTCCTCGGGACGGTAAAAACTAATGAAGGCTGGAGACAATTGGTGATATGGCTGGCTCAAAATCGTTCTCAATGGCTGGTGTAGATGGATCCACTCCTTGTCCCTTATGATTTACAATGAAACTGTTTTGTTCTTCGTTATTACTATTCCTTTGTCTCACGCCTCTGCTTACTGTCTCTATTATGCATTTCTTCTACTTTGTTCTGTTGCTTTGTGTGCTACAAAGAGGGAGTGTGGCGACTTGAAGTTCCGCACATATGTGCAAAGTTCTATGTCGAAAACAGACAGACAATGATTGATTGACTGGTTTCAACGCAGAACTTTGCACCAATTTGCAGCAGTTCGAGTAGCCACACTTCACTTAGCACACAAAGCAAAAGAAGAAAGTGAACAGAAATGCAAAACAGAGACAGTGAACAGAGATAGAAGGCAAAAGAAATAGTAATTTCGAAGAAGAATATAATTTTATTGCATATGACAAATCAAAAAGAATGAATGCATCTCAGTAAGCCATTGAGAACGATTTTGAGTCATATCACAGATTGATTCCAGCCTTCATTGACTTTTACCACCCCGAGGACCACAACCAGGAAGTCTACACCTCCCAACTTGACTGGCTTGAACTAACTATTATGGATTTCATTGACTGATGAAGCTATGTTTTGGTTTGACTACCACTAGCTAACTCTTTTCCAACCTGACCCTATATCGGCTAACATTGCTTGTTGTTGAGGAAGGCGATGGCTAGGGATGCATGCGTAACACAGGTCCTAACCATTTCAATCGATGTAACTTCATAGCCTCGTCTAATGATTTCCCCTCCGTACCTAGCACTCGACGCCTAAGTAATGAATGAAATGAATAAAAGTGTAGTGCTAAAATATACTGGGGGTAGATTTCATCACAAAGTGTCATCAGTTGCATAATCACGGGAAACGAGAGACCCCCATCCTATTCTTTTTTGGGATACTTAACCTATGCGTACACCAGTGACATAATGAACTGAGAATCGTCTGTTTACGGTGGTGTAACAACATTTCCACTGGATTCGAATCCAGTATGTGTATCAGTAAACAAAAATCAAATACGAGACTTACTAGACCAAGGAGAACAAAAACTGCACCACCCAAAGAACAAGCAAACAATGGGCCCACAATCATTACCTAGAGAGAAAATGAAAGTAAATGAGATAATAATAGTAAATGAATCAATGAATGATACTCAGATAAAACATAATAAACATGAGATCTTAAATCCTTTAATATCAATGCTTTCTAACGAAGTAATCCTTATGCAGACATGTACTCATAGATTTAAGCAGTTGACTTTCAGTCACTGGTTTCGACTTCAAGTTCACTGCTCCACATGTTACACAGTCTGAGTAACTCGATGGTTAACACCAGTCTTCACACACAGTTTGCATATGACTTACAGCATGGTGTTTGGGAAAAACCTATTTCGAGTGGCTGAGACCACACAACATGTAATGAAAAGAAGGGTATTGACAAGGAAAACAACACATGTGATTTTCTTCTCTGAAATGTGGGGAAAATAGCCAATTCTGTGGATATATGTTTCTGTTAAAGCCAAATCAGCCTCTACTTTTGAATACAGTATATTTCAGAATGGTGGTTCTACACACGTACATATATATTGACTGATCAGATGAATTTGAAGGTCAGCATACATACATCTACCAGCCTAATCTTCGAACTGAAAGAAATCTGCAACCGTTTTGTTTTACAGGATTTTGTATTTCTAAGAAATAACGCGTGATAACAGTTGCTGGGAGCTGTGAATATGAGAAAAGTTTCAAAATAAACAATACCATAATAATTACTGGATTTAAGCGAATACAAATGCAGTAAAACAAAATTAAAAATCTATAAAGATGACAGTGTGAACAGCGTTGTAGAATCGAATTCTATATTAGTGTATTTGATAAAACACAAAAAGAGTACTACAGAATGAATAATTGGATGATGGTTTCGAGCATAATTTATTGCTCGTAATCATATCAATGTATCCACACACCTTTCTTATTTGCTTTCCACAGTCTTAGTCTCTCTTCTTTTTATTGGAATTTTCCATATATCCGGTGCAGATGTTACTTCACTCCGACTGGATGTGTGTGTGTGTGTGATATTGATGCAACGAACACAGATTCAGTGAATAACCTCTCTCTCTCCCTCCACCTAACTATATTACTTTCTGAAACTCTTACCCCACCCCACCCTATTGTAAATACATGCAAATGAATGCACTGTAGTAACCGAGCCTCTTTCTAGATTATTTAACTTAGCGGGGTCAATCATTCTATTTAAGTATTGATTTGCAGGGATTCGGCTGGTTACAAGATTTCATCATGAGCTGGCATCGGCTAGACAACCATTGGAAAACCTTCAGGAATACTGTACGGCTGTTTCGTCCTAGTTTGGAATTCTTCATCACTACACACCCACTGCAGGGGCTCGGACCCAGGACCTTCAGGCTACAAAGTGAACTCGTAAACCTGATCCATTGACCCATGAATTCCATCTTCTGCCAATTCACGAAACAGCGCGACCACTAGCCAATGTCATAGCTGGTGAGTATTTGTCATTACACCCAACCTGCTCTACCCCATTGGTCAAGGATTCTCAAGCTAAATTTCCGTTCCGATAATATAACTAACTCTGACCTACTAATCTGACATATTTTGTTAACCTCACAGTCATTACATGGTATTTGGTAAGTTATATTATTTTTTCTTAATTGGAACTATGAAGCTCTTTAAGACAACAAAGTTTATCTGAGTGATTAGTTGGTTTAAATGCCGACCTAATTCTAGCACCATTCAGAATCCTACGTAGAGCCTCTGATGTCCTTCCCTTCATATGGGCAGAACTATCGAGGTTTTGAATTCCTTTGTGATTTATATTATTCTCATTATTACTTTTACTTTTCTCATGAGTCTTCATACATTTTTGAATAAATTCAATAAAATAAACGTAGAAGGAAGAATGGAAAGATATTTAATTCACTATTCAACTGCATACATTATATAAAAGTTACATTACTTCTAAAATACTACTTCATAGTAGAAAAAATTGACAAAAGAAAGAGAGAATGTACAAATGTCTAGAAACATGTATCTCAGATTTGAAGGTTTTGATTACGCTGGATCCAGTAGGAGGCAATACTTGACAATATCATCATTTGGATTACCAAAAATGCCTGTTCAATATCTACAATTTGGTTGGTATATATTATTACATACAATTTAATGGGACTTGAGATTACTTAATCCTTTTCTAGTTAGCCATATTTTATTTATTTATTTATTTAAACACAAAATAACTTCGTACAATATGGCACCAAGACGATGAGCCAAACAATAATGATAAAACGACATAGATTAACAATAAAAATATGGGTGGAGAACGGATAGGCAGTATTCGTCAGTTATCGTCGGAAAGGAAAGAAAGAAGAAAATAGCAGCAAGTTAGCCATTGATTGCGATTCTTGGCCATATCAGATAAGGTTTCGAGCCACCACCTCTCGGATTCTAACCAGGGAGTCATGACGCACCAACCCATGCTAATCTAGCACAAAAATCCTTCGTCCCACGACGCCATGTCATGGACTGATCACCTCTCCGCCTTATCCATCCCGTCCCAGGGCAGGCTAGCGAACAGAGACCTGTACGGAAGCCTCTGGGATGACATTCGCAGCACATGTCCAAATGACCGAAGGCAGTGTTACTACATGACAGCACTCAACAAATGGTGATTTCCACTGTGTCCAAACACACGCCACCGGATCTCAAGAAATACAACAATTGTTGATCTGCAATACGTGTGGCGGTGTTCCAAAAACTGACGAAGAGTGAACACATGATCAATGCACCCGTGGCATGAAAGAAACCCAGCCTGCCCTTCGCGAATCAATCCCTAACGTGTTTTGCACAACCTGCGAAGCACGATAAAAGCCAATATTTTAGACGCAAATGGTAGCAGACTGATACGATAATGACTTCATTCCACATTGATGGTACATCCCTAGGTCTCCCATATTTTCCTGAATAATCCAGTTAAGCCATGACGAGAGACTCGCCACCATCTTTAAAAAGAGTCGCGGGTAAATTGTCTGGGCCAGGTGCCTTGTGGCGTTTCAGTACTTGGAGTTCCCTTCTACACCTCCGCTTCGATTAGTGGATTGGTATTGACCAACCAAGAAGCACTGTAGATAGTTAGCGAAACAGTCAGATGATATTTCGCTAAATATATCTATTTCCTTTCTTACATATGTTGTTTGCAAATATCGCTTAAAATAAAATAAGCATTCTCAGAATTTATATGAGGGATTAGTGGCTTTCATATCCGACTTAAACAAAGCTTCAAAAAGAAAACAAAGTTAGCCTATGTTCAGTGCCTGAACAAACTGAAGTTCACGATGCAGTTCCACTCATCACATGCTTTATACATATGTATATCTTAATAACAATATTACGCGTCTATGCATGCATAATCAATCTTTCAGAAGTTCTCTTAACAGACTTCCCAGAATTATGCACTAATAATAAGCCCTATACAACATGTGATGATTGATGAACGTGTGCAGGCTTACGTATTTATATATGTCACATGTGACTAAACCTAAAATATGAAGATTTTAAGAAATGCCCTTATCAATGAGAAAAGCAAAAGCAATTAACTTATTTATCATTATCTCTAACAGAATGAATAGTTTTCAATGTTGTTATGTTCTCTGAACTGGACGGTTTAATTCGCAAAGCCCTCATTGTCTATATCTGGACAATACACCTTCAGCGCTAACATAGGAGTCAAGTAGTAGAGATTAGCTAGCTTACTAAATTATGTCTCTAAATGCCTGTTTTGTGTACAAATAGACGAAGGAGTTTTATTTATTTTCTAATGAAAACTTTTACTACATCTACAAGAATAAGCATCCTTTTGAACTAATATTATTATTCTACGCAAGTAAAGGTATTCACATAATCTCCATCTGGACAAAATTTTATTTTAATTTTTTTATTTTTGATTACAGCTTGATTACACACTGTATTTTTGGTACAAGTATGTAATTTTCAGCATGGATATCGGTAGCCCAAATTTTGCAGGCCGACCATAGATATCAGGTATGCATCGGCAGGGGGTCGAACCTCGGATCATGTGCATGGCCGACGAGAGTCCTAACCACTGTACCACCGACGCAAGATATGAGACGACCAACAAAGATTTCAAGAGAAACTGATGTCAACATAGGTATCAATTCGATTTATTTCCTATCACACAGTTTCCGTCGTTATTACAAGAACCATGGAACTCAATCAATCCATGAAAGTCATGTTTGACATCTCCACCCACTCCAACCGAAATAGCTAAAATAATTAACAGACTCAAAAACAAAAAAGCTCCGGGCGAAGATGGTCTACCCCCAGAAATATACAAGGCCTGCACTCCAGCGCTAATCGATTCACTGCACTCGCTGTTCTGCTCAATTTGGGAGTCCGAAACCATTCCTTCCGATTGGAGCACCTCAGTTCTGCTACCGTTCCACAAAAAGGGAGACAGCTCACTATGCGAGAACTACCGAGGCATAAGTCTAATTGATATCGCTGCTAAGGTTTTTGTTTCCATTCTCCTGAACCGCTTCGCGGCCGAACGACACGTGCGAACAAGGCCAAATCAAGCCGGATTTCGACCTGGAAGAGGCTGTGTTGATCAATTATTTACACTGCGAAGAATTTTGGAAGACAGGGACAAATTCCAACAGCCGACGGTTGCTTGCTTCATCGACTTCCAAGCGGCATTCGACTCAGTTGATCGAGGAGCACTCTGGTATCTAATGGAGCTCGACGGAGTTCCGACCAAGCTAATCAACCTGCTCAGGTCATACTACTCCAACACCAAAGCTCGAGTCCGAGTGAACGGTGAAGAGTCCCGCACTTTTGAGGTAACCAGCGGTGTCCGGCAAGGTTGTCCAGCATCCCCCATCCTGTTCAATTTCACAATCGATTGGATTTTGCGGCACGCCCTAGCCGAGCACCACGGCGTCCAACTTTCGCCCGATATTCACATAACCGACCTCGAATTCGCCGACGACGTCGTGCTGTTAGCTGAAAACTTCCCCGATATGCAACAGGCGCTCGACCAGATAAACCACCTCGCGCCTACTATCGGTTTGAAAATTAACACTTCCAAAACCAAAATGTTTTCGAACACATCCACCAGCAATGATGAAATCTTATCCCTAAATGGAGCACCTATTGAAATTGTGCCATCCTTCAGATATCTGGGATCCATAATGCTCCCCAACGGCCAAGCGAAAAACGAAGTGAATGCGCGAATCTCCAACGCCCGGAATGCGTTTCTACAGCTGAGGAGCGTTCTATGGAGCAAGAGAGAAATCAGTCTCAGGACTAAAATTCGGGTCTACCAAGCTTCCATACGACCCGTTCTCCTGTATGGCTGTGAAACCTGGCCTCTTCGCACGGAAGATTTACGCAGACTCGAGGTAGTAGACCATTGGTGTCTCAGGTACATTCTGCATGTTCGTTGGCAGGACAAACTCTCCAACGAAGAAGTGCGTCGTCGTTGCTACAACATCAACCAAATTCCAATACTGGTCCAACAACGCCGCCTTCGGTGGTTTGGCCATGTTCTGCGCCGACCAGATGACGATCTGGTCGAATCAGTTTTAAATCCCTCGCCATTACCATCTTGGCGATGTCGCAGGGGCGGACAGCTGAAGACATGGCTTGGTACAGTCAAGGCGGATATGGAGTGCCTGGGGCTACAAACCGTCTACGGACTCCGTATGTGGAACAAGAATTGGATATCCCTATCGCAAAACCTTGCTTCAGATCGCCGCGCCTGGGCAGCGATGATTCGAGACGTTCATGAAGCCGGCTCATCCTCCCGTAGGAGATAGCCGAAGTAAGTAAGTATGTTTGACATCAGACATGGTCGACCTCAGATAAGAAACCATTCATATTAGAAAAATCCAATATAGAAAACAATTTGGACAGAAGCTATTAGACTATCAGCATATTTATTAATGAAACTGGCTTTAAAAGAATACGATAAGTTATGCAAAAAGAAAGAAAAACCGAAATGGAGAAGGTACAGCTTCCGGCAGAAAAGAAGTGGAGCACTTCCCTGTGGAAAAAGTATATTGTTTCCTACCTGTGAAATAAAAAGACAAGCGACTTGTGACTCAGGAGTTTCAATGCACGCTGAAGTCAGTTTGCTTAGTAAAATTGCCTCAAGAAGAGAATCTAAAGCAGCAGTGTAGCTCGAAAAGGCAGATCGAACAAACTTTGCATCTTTATCTAGACTTGAAACAGTATTATGGTCGCGGCACAATAGCAGCATCTAAAAATCAAGTTCCCATTGTGATATGACTCTGAACTATATTAATGAAGCTGAAAAATTCATCCTACAAGTGTGTGTGTGTGTGTAAAGGAGATTCTCTATGGATAGTTTGTGTGGAGATGCCAGTATAGAGCGGATAACATTAAGTTGTTATATAGCAGAATGTTATCCCACTACATAATGGAATTTCAGATAACAGGTATATAGAACAGCTCTCCCCAGCTTTCATTACAGCACTCATTAAGAAGCAATGACAATGAAATGCCTCATACAGCAACCGGCATACATGATCTTTTGCTTCAAGAGGAGGCGGGAAAAACAAAACAAATGCTAGCGATGCTTCATTTTATAAGATGATTAGCAATAATAACACATTTATCCTATCACCATAATGATAAAAATAATAATCAATATACATGTTAGTTCCTAGGCGTATAAAAAGATTTTCAAACCTACTTCATCACAAAATCTTGCAAACTCATCCAATGAAGTAATAGCCTCACGATAATTTAATGACTCATCATACATCCACGGTTTAATATAAACACCTAAATAGAAGTTAATTTTTTTAAAAACAGAAAACATCAGAAAATACAATTAGCAGTGACGCAGAATATTCAGTAAAATACTTCTAATCGAAATTAATTAATTAAAAATGCAAAGAATTTTAAAAATATAACCCTAAAAGGCTGTAGGAAAGACTTGTAATAAAGAGACAAGATATATATATATATATATATATATATATATATATATATATTGCTTAGTCTTTGGGGAATTAGCTATCTACTCATGAATATTTCATCATACTGGATTAGACGATTTTGCCGACAAGTATTTTATATGTATGTCAAGTATCATCTTTAAGGTATGTGAACATTTATGTATAAGAACATTTATCAATCTTGATTGCGCGTAGACGTGATATCCGGCTGGCTATCGACCAAAGGGCGGGTGTACGTACTGCTCATCAGTCCGCTCCGTCCTCCTTTATGGCTAGCTGTGAGATCTGGCCACTGAGAGCTGTCTTTGATCATGGGTGCCTGCGTTCTATCTCCCTACCGTGTGAAGTGGTATAATAACGTGAGCAATATTGAGGTTAGACTTCGGTCGAGTGCTAGGTAAGCAGAGGAAATCAATCGACGAGGCTGTGAAGTTACATCGACTGAGATAGATTAGACATGTGTTATATATGCCTATTCATCGGCTTCCTCAACCGACTGGCAATGTAAGCTGACATAGGGTCAGGCTGGAAAAGAGCTAGCGGCGGTCAAACAAAGATATGGCCTTACCAGTCAATGAAATCTACAATAGTTAGTCGAAGCCACGTAGGAAGGTGTTGACTTCCTGACTGGTTGGGGTCCTCGGGACGGTAAAAACTAATGAAGGCTGGAGACAATTGGTGATATGGCTGGCTCAAAATCGTTCTCAATGGCTGGTGTAGATGGATCCACTCCTTGTCCCTTATGATTTACAATGAAACTGTTTTGTTCTTCGTTATTACTATTCCTTTGTCTCACACCTCTGCTTACTGTCTCTATTATGCATTTCTTCTACTTTGTTCTGTTGCTTTGTGTGCTACAAAGAGGGAGTGTGGCGACTTGAAGTTCCGCACACATGTGCTAAGTTCTATGTCGAAAAAAGGCAGACAATCTTGATTGCAGTGTAATTTAAGGTATTCTGTTTGTCGACAATTGATCTACTACTGAAATATTCGAAATTCAAATTAGTGATTAACAGCTAATGACAGAAGACAAGGGCCAGACAACAGATCTTTTATTGAGAAAATCAACAGATATTTATAGATGTACATTATTATTAGCGTTATTGTTAGGAGAGAAGCAACGTCTTCTCATTGGCTGTTTTCTTGCAGAAGGTTACTCTGTACTGCTTGTGACCATTTATTAAAAAGTTAAGCAATATATCTGCGAGTCGTATTTGCACACATTAAGTCTGCTGTGATTGGTTGGTGAGTTCCCCAAGGTTAAGCTTTGTTACTGTTTATCTCATGACCTCGATTCAGGACGTCAATATTGACGTAAATTGTTGTCTAGAATTTCGGCTTGCAGACAGCTCTCACCACTAACATACGCCAAGGAGACTATTATATTTGAGTAATTAAAAACACCCAGTCCAGTTTTCATATGCAAGTAGTCACTCGGCAGTTTGCAAAACAGTTCTTACAACAAATCATTTGTAAGCCTAGAGAATTGACAGAAATTAGAATTCACATGTCCCAAGTTCGATCCCCGGTGAGGTCGTGTGTACGTACTGTTGAAAAGTTTCGAACTAGCATGGAACAGCTGTCCAGTACTCTCTGGTTTTAAAGGTTCCCTAACTGATATCTGTCTGTCTGTCTGGATTCAACATAGAACTTGGCACCGAAGTGCACCAGTTCCAGTTGCCACGTTCCAAATAGCACACAGAGGTAGACAAGAAGATGAGTGAAGAGAATTAATAGAGTTTCACAAGTATAAGAGTGAAACAGAATGGGTAATGGTAGAAAGGAATATGAAAGATTACAGAGACTGAATACATCTGCGCTGGCCATTGACAACGATTTTGAGCCATGTCACCTATTGTCTCCAGCCATTGATTTCTGGAGTCCCGGGGGCCCCAACCCGGAAGTCTGCACCTCCCTACCTGACTCAGTTTAACTGTCAAGGATTTCATGGATTGATGAGGCCATGTTTTTGTTTGGCCACCACTGGCTCTTTTCCAACCTGCACCTATATCAGCTAGTAATGCCCGTCGGGGGAAGCGATGGTTAGGCATGTGCAGCACGTGACCTAGCCATCTCAGTCTATGCAACTTTATAGCTTTGTCGATTGATTTTCCCTCTCTGCCTAACACTCTACGCCTAACGTCAACATTACTTACCTTATTAAACCACCTAACGTGAGAAAGAGATCGCAGACATCTATAATCGAAAGCAGTCAACCTTTTCATGTCTTCAACGCGTATTGGCCATGTTTCAGAGCCATAGAGAAGGACGGAGCGAACTGATGAACAGTACACACGTCCCTTGGTTGATAACCGGATGTCACGCCTACGCCAGAGATGGTGTAAGTCAGCGAAAGCAGCTCGAGCTTTTCGGATCCGTGCTGAGATTTCATCGCCAATCAGTCCGTTGGTGCTAATACAACTTCCCAAATAGGTGAAGTGGTCAACATGTTCTATCACTTCACTCCCTATCACTAAGCTAGGAGTTGATGTGGTCCAGTCCTGTAGCAGCATCTTACATTTTGTAGGGGCGAATCGCATGCCAAACATACGAAGATTGCTGCTCAAGGTGTTCAGAAGACTCTGCATTTTGTCAGCATCCCCCCCCCGTTAACAGGACTATGTCATTCGCATATTCTGAGTCCATAAGACTATTCCCTGGTAACAAGTCGATTCCTAATTCGTTACGTTCAGTTAAGGATGCTTCTGTCAGCATATCTATGATGAAGTTAAACAGAAATGGGGAAAGTGGACATCCCTGCCGGACACCACTGGTTGTTACCAATTCAGATGACAATTCCCCATAAGCCCCTACACGGCTACATGAGTTTGAAGAGAGTGCCCTGATTATTGCAATGTACTTTCTTGGCACTTCCTTCACAGTCAGACATTGCCATAGTACCTTTTCATCCATGGAGTCGAAGGCCGCCTTCAAGTCAAGAAATATGACAATTGTTGGACGCCGAAAAGTGTGTCTATGTTCTAGAATCTGTCGAAGAGTGTAGATATGAGCTATGCACCCTCTACCTGGTCTAAAGCCTGCTTGATTTTCCCTTGTCTGTTCCTCCCGAGTTCCGCTTAGTCTATGCATGATTACTGAGCCTAGGATTTTACAGACTATGTTCGTTAGGCTGATCCCCCTATGATTATCACACGAGGACTTGTTTCCCTTCTTGAATATCGGTATAATAAGTGACTTACCCCAGTCTGATGGCACTGTCTCTGATTCCCAGACGTTGCCTAGTACCTCAGTTAATCTACAAACTAGTGTGTCACCCCCATATTTAAACACCTCCGGAATAATTCCGTCGGGTTCTGCCGCTTTGCCTCGTTTCAAATTACTGATAGCTTTTGTGACCTCACTTACAGGCGGCGGACCAGTGTCTATATCCCATTCGGGTGTGTCTGTCTGTCTGTCTGTTTTCGACATAGAACTTTGCACAAATGTGCGCCAGTTCAAGTCGCCACATTCCGTGTAGCACGCGAAGCAGGAGAAGAAAGTACAAGAAAAGCATAATAGAAACAGTGAGCAGAGGTGTGAGACAAAGGAGTAATAAAGAAATACAAAACAGTTTCATTGGAGATCATAAGTCACAGGGAGTGGATGCATCTGCGCCACTGAGAACGATTTTGAGCCATGTTACCAATTGTTTCCAACCATAGATTTTTACCGTCCCGAGGACCCCAACTAGTCAGGAAGTCTACACCTTTCTACGTGGCTTAGACCAACTGTTGTGGATTTCATTGACTGATGCCAAGTTTTTGTTTGACCGCCGCTAGCTTTTTTCCAGCCTGACCCTATATCCGCTAACATTGCTCGTCGAGGGAGGCGATGGCTTGGCATACGTAACACATGTCCTAACCATCTCAGTCTTTGTAGCTTCACGACTTCGTCGATTGATTTCCCCTGTTTACCTAGAACTCTACGCCTAACCTCCATGTTGCTCACCTTATTATGCCACTTTACACGGGAAATAGGACGCAGGCACCTATGATGTGTGTGTGTGCTGGATGAAGGGGAGGTTCAGTGTGGCTGTAGGCAAGTTAAATTGTCCCTCAAAGTGTTCTTTCCAGCGTTCAAGGCGTCTATCCTGAGAGCTAATTAAGGAGCCATTTTTCTCAGAAATAGTCTCACTTATGATTTGCCTTCTCCCACCCGTTTCCCTGATGAGTCTAAAGAGTTGCCTAGTGTTGCCTATCGCCGATGCTTTTTCCATCTCTTTTGCCTTTGTCACCCACCACTGTTCACGGTCCTTGCGGAGACTTTTAGTAAGTTTCCTTTTGTGCAGCTTTCGCTCCTCATTGAATTCGGAGCTCGCCGGAATAAGTCTTCTAGCATCTATCAGTTCGGATGAGGCAGTCGAAATCCAGTGGTTTTTACTCACCTTTGGATTTGCCTTATTCACAGCTTTTACAGCTGTATCTATAGCTGACTGAATATTCTTCCAGGCTTCTCCAGGGTGAGCACAGCTGTCGAACTCAGATATGCGTTTAGCTAGTTCTTCCTCAAATAGGGATTTAGTTTCCTGATCGAGCTGGGGACGTGATGGTTTTACCGCCAGCTGTTTCCTACGTCCGTTCAGTCGTAAGCACACACGAGCCCGGACCAGTGCGTGATCGGTATCTACACACGTGTTCCAGAAGGAGCGACAATCTCCTACCGACCCACGCCAACGATAGCTTATTGCTATGTGGTCTATTTGTGTCCAGCGTTGGTTTGATGATGGGGGTCGCCAGGTTAAACAGTGTCTCTCCTTGTGTTTAAAGTTAGTGCTTACAAGAAACAAATGATTATCAGAACAGAACTGTAGGAGACGGTCACCGTTGTCGGTTCGCTGGCACGGAACTCCATAGGTGCCACCGATAACCTTCTCAGATTGACACAATTTCCCTACTTGAGCATTAAAGTCACCAGCTAGAACGACTATATCTGAGCGTTTAGCCTTTCTCACCAAACTAGACAGCTTTTGGTAGAACTCATCCTTCGTTTCATCCGAACTGCAGTCAGTGGGGGCGTAGGCGGAGATTACGAAAAGGCATCGGCGAGTAGTGCAGTCCTTTCTCCTTCTTACTGATCCGTTCAGACGGACAGCACACATTCGGCTATCTATCGGGATCCAGTCAAGTAATGTCTTTTCTGCCCTAGTACTCAAAGCTATCCCTACGCCAGCTAATCCTCGTGAACTGGCTGTGGCATCTCCTGACACCCTCAAGGTGAATTTTGAAGATTCATCCTGTTGGCCAGGTGGGGTTAGGTGAATAACCACACTTGGGTCTTGTATGCGTGTTTCTGAAACACAACATACATCAATGGCTCGGATGCCAGGGTCTTAGCTAGTGATGCTTGTTGTCCTATTTGGCAAAGTGTCCTAACATTAAAAGCTCCTATATGAAATTGGTGGCGTGGCTTTAGGAGACTATCGGTGGTGGTTTTTTGGCTTCCGTCGTTTTTAGTGGACACAGAGTGAAGAGGGAGTGAGGAGCCATCAAGTAGAGGAGTTGCATCAGTGGGAGGAAGGCAAGGTAATAGAGATGAAGATGAAGACAAAGATAAGTGAGGATTAGAGAGGTTTTGTGTGCATTTCGGATTGTGAGGGCGTTTGTTACTTCCCGGCTGCCCACACCGTGGAAGTTGGTTGCGTGACCGCAGAGCCCAGGGGACAACTGCTTGAGGCCGGTCACACGCGGCCTGTTTTTGTTCGTTCTCTTTTGTTTGGTGTGCCTCAGTAGCATACTTATCACTCCTGCCCTGTGACACGGCAGCAGGAAGCGCGGTCGTTGTTAATCCGGGCCACGGCCGATCCGGCATGAAATTTTGTGAATTTGTTTGAATCATGGTATTGGATAGGGTAGCTGCTTTCTGTTTAACCGCTATCCAAACAACCTGTCTGGCAATGTAGAACCTCAAGAGACATAAGTCTCAGCCAGTATAGCTTGATTAGGTCATTGCGGTGTTCAAGCCCGACCACCACGTCAAGGTAGCAGCTTTCGGTCGGGCTGATATCAATCCGTGATCTAACCTGAAACAAATCTAAAGAAATTCCTTGCTAGAATAGACCTTCATTCGTGTTTAGGAACGCAATGAACTATCTAATACAGTCCTTCAAGAGGTAAGTCGCGAGCCCAAATAGCTCAGTGATAACGTCTTTGACTGCAGCACTGGGTGACACAGGTTCAAATCTGAGAAGAGACATGAGTTCCTTCAAGATTGCAGATACGCCTTGCTGATGAGTGTCAACAAGCACGAAACCTAGGTCCAAGACTTCCTGCCGATTACCTCCAACCATTTAATCACAATGAACTATCATTGCAACACAATTCCTATAAAATATTATTATTTAAAATGGGGAAAGGCACAATACGCAAAAATATATTTCTAAGATATCTTAGAATTACAACAAAAGACATCCATGATCGATTTGACAGTCTCATAAGGCACAGAATTAATCTGGTGTGACCTTAACCAAGAAATCTTATGATTTCATCTATTCATCTTAGGCCTACCATGATATTGAGTTGAATGTAAGGTCAAGGTGATCAGAAATGCACCGATCACTTCATGTATGACATTACTACACATGGGTCAATCGATAATCATAAGCCTGAGCCCCATATTTTGTATTGTCCCTGTCTTCGCTTACATATGCATAACATATCTATTAACATAAATATTAACTATCCGAGCGTTCATACTAATCACAACAAATCAATAAATAGTGTCATTTGTGTAATTAGAACAAAAAGAAACAGAATTATTTTATCATTTAAATATTCATTCAAACAAAAACACTTACCATAATGTGTCAAATTAAAAATATAGTTGAAATCAGGAGAAAAATATCGATTATTACGATAATTTGGCATGTTAGCTGAATTTCTCAGATTTGGAAATGGTGACCTGAAACCTGAATCAGGTTCAGCTGGTGTATAACCAAGGTTAAGATTTTGATAATAGTAGGCAAGACGAGCTGTATACGTCTCCTCTAGATACTCTTTACGATCTCTTAATTCTGATAAAGATGGTGCAACACGACCATCAGGACCAGGACGTCGTGCACCTGGACCATGCCATACATCAGCTAATTCAGCAGTACATATGGAATTAAACATTGCCCAACAAAATGTAGGGACAACAAGGAATGCCAAAAATATTAACCATACTATTATGGTTACATATGTGGTGCACATAAACTACAAGAAAGTAAAACAAACAGGAAAAAAATCTTAATAGTATCAAAAACTGAAGTCAACAGTTAAGGGGAACATTTTTTTTATTTTTGATTACAGCTTGATTCCATACCGTATTTTTTGGTACAAGGACGAAATTTTCAGCATGTGATATCGTTAGCATAAATTTTGCAGGCCGACCATAGATATCAGATGTCCGTCGGCAGGGGATCGAATCCCGAACCATGTGCATGATCGGTGAGAGTCATAACATTCACTGGGCAGTACACTAACTTCAACAGTTGGGTACCTCTAGGGAGAAAGAGAAATCTTATTCATTCCTTATGCTCCAGAATTCATAAAATCTGCTCTGCAGAGACAATCGATAGTAAATTAGGTAACCTTCGATCAAATCTCCTTAACAACGGTTATCCTACAAGGTTCATTGAACGTAACATCAAGAAAGAATCCGCCCCTAGACAAATCACAGTACCAAAGAAAAAACTGTTTATGAGTCTAGCATTCAAAGGTGATACCTTTTCGGAATTGATTAAAAATCGTTTATCTAAATGTGTTAAACGCACTTTTTCTGCAGCTGACTTGCAGCTAGTTTTTACCAGCCGAAATATGATTAGACAATGCGTCAAGGATAGATTACCGCTTTTGTCCACATCTACGTGCATTTACTCTTTTACCTGCTCTTGTGGAGCTGTTTATATTGGACGTTGTAAGCGTAATCTCCGGAAACGTGTAGCTGAACACTATTCGGTTTGGTTAATGAAAGGCGAACGTAGAACTGCGAAGTCGTCTATTTGTGATCATCTGTTAGAGTCTGGTCATTTAGCCCCACATGATTCATCTTTCAAAGTTATCTACATGGCAAAATCGAATCGCTCCAAAAGTTTACGTTTTCTTCACTTATGCATAGCTGAAGCTTTAGATATACATGAACAGAAACCTAAATTATGTGTTCAAAAGCGTTTTGTCAGACGCCTTTCTTTACCTTGGTCATAGTAATGTTCTTTCTAGTTTTCATTTTATTTTATTTTACCACTTGAATTCTTTCCACTTATCGTAATCGTACTCCTAATTTTCAAAATTTTTAGATGACACTTGACATTTTTGATATCAATTCACTTATAAAACAATCTTTAGTATTTTTGTAATTTGTCCACTTCAACTCTACCCCTTATAACATTTTAATTATCGTTTTTCTTATCACATATATATATGTAAATATATATATATATATATATATATATATATATATATATTGACTGAGTAATTATTTAGTGCCACTTAATAACCTTTTTCTGTAATATAAATACGACTGTACAGCTTGAAAATGAAGTCGTTGAAAAGAAATTTCTTCGCTGAACAAAAAACTGTGTTTTCACATTTGAGAGTCATAACCACACTGTGCCACTGATGCACATCAACATATTTTTGTTGCTAAGGTTCTTGAAAGCAATAGTCTTCATACAATTATACACAATTTAAATAGATAACCCTTCAGATTTCTGTTTAACACCCCTGTCTTAACAAACGAACTTTATTTAACTATCAAAATCAAGGCAAATTGCACATGATTTGATGTCACAACTTCACAGGATCAAAAATTTTGTTCTCATATCATCAAAATAAGCAATAGAGATGGTCAAAACACAACCCACATAAACTTAATGAGCAAAAATAATCTATGTAAAAGTTGTGAACAATAACTAATTCTACCCCCTCTCGCCTCCTTCTACATTTAGACTATGTCCATACAAATGAAAATTAGGGTAATTAGATTAAATGAAAATAGGACATAATGATCACGCCTTTCTCTTATCCTATTATTATTATTCCTTATTGTACTTTAAGCATTCATTGATGATCAGTCAAGGTTAGGATTAAAAACCACTGGCCATATATATATATATATATATATTATCGATTAATGACCTCAAGAGTGATTAAATCTGTTCGAATAAAGTTCAACCCAAAAGTAAAAACCTTCTATTAGAATTATCTTCCTGTCCCACTGTTGTATTTATTATACGAAAAACGCTTGAGGAGAAAAAAACAGGAAGCGACAATTCAATGTATCAATAACAATTATTAATGATGCGATAACAGAAAGCAGAGGATGGAAAACTACAGCTGAGATAAACAAAGAGAAATCCTTAAAATTATACAAGATAGTCATTTTTTATGCAACTAGCAATTCAACTGTTTCTGGTATATTGGTTGTTTATCTATGAATTTAATTTTTTGTACACCTGAACATTTACAGCCAGTGTGGTTGAAAGAAGAATACGTAATATAGAGGCGCTGCTAAAATAGCATACTGGTACATCTGGTGTAAATAAACCAGAAGCTCTAATTGAATTTTAGATTTTCCCGTCGATTGATTGGACCGAAGTGCTCGGTCTCAGGTTGACAGGTCGGCTTCTTGAGCAGATGCTTAGACGATGTCTGGGCATTTAATTACTTGGCGAGTCCCAAACAGGACGAAATGCGCATCCTGGATTTTACTGCTAGTCACCATCCACTAATTAAACCAAAAAGCCAACTATTCATTGCGTACCCATGAAGTTGACGAGAGCCAGTAAACATTAAATACTTCGGATACCTAAATCTATATCCATTCGGTCAATAATTAATAATAATAATAATAATAATTTTCCCTTGACGTTCCCAGTGGAACATATGGCTTCAAGTTAGTGGCTTGAAGTTTTAGTAGCAGTGTTTAATTTTTACAGGATGGGGTTGCTAGCCTCATGCCCAACCTTTCCTCTTTACCACCATTATTTCTGACTTAGTGAGGTAAAGGAGTGCGTCGGTGGCCGGGGATCGAACCCTGGACCATGTGCATGGTTGGCGGGCGTCCTAACTACTGTGCCACCGACGCATTCCATTCGGTCAAACAGTTCAAAATGTAGTTAACTAACATCCTATTTTCGAGTGGGACCAGAATGGGAAGTGATAAGTTGGCAGTCCAAAGAATGACACATGGAAGAGATTATGTGAGGAGAGAACGAAAGCTTACGCGCAATCCTCAAGCCACATAAAAAGGGAGCATAGAACAGAGAGGAGCTGAAGCTGTATGCTCACCCCCTCGGAACCCAAAAAACGAGCAATAATATATTAATATCTTCCTTCGATATAATAATCTACAAGTTCCTATATTCCCTATCATGTCATATCTTTTAGTTATAACTTTGAACTCTGTTTATACCCACACATACACACACACCTCCAAATCCCTTAATATTTTCAAAGAAATTTGTATAATCCACTCAATTTTGTTCTGAACGATAGCGTACGAAACATCTAAACTTTGGTAGATGCAGAAGAGTTGAAACTCGTAAGCTGAGGGATAAATGCCAAGATCGTATAAATCGATGGATTAATCACAGTTCCACTTCACTTCTGGGTTGTTTGTTATTCATCTACACAAACTTTGAAATCGAAATGGATAAGATTTTCATTTTAAATACTAGCCAAAAGCAGTCACTATGACATAATTTATCTTCAATTATGATCATCCTCATTTAAATTTAATAAAATCCTGAATGATATTTGAAAGGGATTACCTGACAGTATATTGAAACGTATAATTATCTTATCGTTATAGAAATCGTTGAAAATGGAGAAAATTCGTTTTCTGAGACCAATTTAAAAATAATCATAGCAAAAGTAATATATGTGTAGAACTTGAACACTGTGGTAGTATGTAATTACATATTAATTTCTTTACAAGATATATCACAGAGTGAAACAGTATTATTATTTACTGGATGACAAAGTTTCGAGCACAATTCATGATTGTTCACAATCATATCAATTATAACCAAACAACTTGGGAACTTTCGTTTTACAGCTTTCTTTATTCCTTACTATTTCGTCGTACGGGTAGTCGGATGTTCCAGATATCTGGGAGAGGTGTTGAATCATTCCTGTTACACATATTTGCAGTTGATTCGATAAACAAATTACACACAATGATACAATAGGATTGGGTAAGATGACAGGAGGGAGAGATTGATAAAGGAAGCTTTATTTATCGAATCAACTGCAAATACGTGTAGTAGGAATGATTCAACACCTCTCCCAGATATCTGGAACATCCGACTACCCCGTACGACGAGTAGTAAAGAATAAAGAAAACTGTAAAACGAAAGTTCCCAAGTTATTTGGTTATAATTGATATGATTGTGAACAATCATGAATTGTGCTCGAAACTTTGTCATCCAGTAAATAATAATACTGTTTCCCTGTGATATATCTACCAATAAATTAATATGGAACCATAACATAGGATCTATTGAATTCAGAAACTTCAGTGAGACTGGTCAACTCGTCGACTGAATAAATTCTTTCAAATAGCTGATTGAGTAGCTACAATAGTACTTCTCAGGCACTACCAAGAGGACGATACAGCGATGAAGGGAAGATATCACACACGAATCGTCAGAAAATCACACTATATGTACCAACTGTAGTGTCTTCGCAAATGACTGAGTAACTGAGTTTCAACATAGAAATTTGCACAGAAGTGCAGTAGTTCAAGTTGCCACACCCCATAATACATATACACGGTGGAAAAGTAAGAAAAAAGAGATTGAAAGCAAATATAATAAGCAGGAATGTACGGGAGAAAGAATAGTAACATGGAAAAGCGTGAGGGTTCAATGGATATGGGAGATCCCGAGAAGTGAATGCATTTGCGCCTTTGAGAACGATTTTGAGCAATATCGCCAATAATCTGTAGTCGCTGGTTCTTAATATCCCGAGAGCCCACTTTTCTACGTGACTTAAACCATCTGTTAGAGACTTCATGGACTGATGTCATGTTTTTGTTTGACCACTCCTAACTCTTTTTCAATCTCATCCTACTTCGGCTAACATTGCCAGTGGGGAAAGGCGATGGCTCGGCATGAGCAACAGGTGTCTGAAACATAGCAAACGACTCATCTTCACAACCTTATCGATTGACTTACGCTCCTTATGTGACACTACTCCTAACCTCAATGTTACTCAGCATATTAAACCCCCTAGCATGACAGACAGGATGCGAACATATGTGTTCAAAGACAGCCGACCCCGCCATAAGGGAGGACAGAACAAACTGTTGCTCAATACACACTTTCTTTGATAGATATTCGGAGAAGAGTAAGTTGGAAATTTTCACACGAGCTTTTTGTATCGATGCTTAGATTTCATCCTTAATCAATCCATTGGGGCTGATGCAACTTCCCAAATAGGTGAACTTGTCAACACACTCTACCACTTCATTCCTTATCTTTTAGCCAGGAGTCGGTTTAGTCCAGGCCTGAAGCATCACACTACATTTAACAGAAGCGAATCGCATACCAAATACTAAAAGATTTTGTGCCTAAGGTGTTCAAAAGACTCCACATTTAGTCAACGTCTTCACCTGGGAGGACAATATCATTCACATACTTTAACTTGATAAGAATGTCTTCTCGCAATATTTCAATCCCTAAGTCGCTAAATTCATTTAGGGGCAACTCTTTTTGTTTATCTGTGATGAAATTAAACAAAAATGAGGACAACTGGCATCCCTGACGGACTGATAGGCATCTATCTGCTCCGTAATTGACTACGTTTAAACAGATAAGACATATTAAAGTGAAAATCCCACAGAGCTCTGTTTGCCAACCAAAGAAAAAATTACGGCTATGACAGTGACACTACCAAGGTTTCTACAATTAATAACTGACGAAGGAATAAGGAAAATCTTGCAACCTTGGGATCTTGTAAGGCATGAGGAGTTCGTAAACCAAGGGTAAGTGTACCACACAAAACAGCAGTCACCTTCAATTTATCATAGTATAGCTTTCTGGTACATTGTAAACGTGTTCGTGAGACTTGGTTCATTTTCTGTTTATTTCAGTTTCCCTACGGCATTTATCTTTGCATTATTTTGATTCTTCTGAACTTACTTTATTTAATGGACAAACGCTTTGTTACCAATGTTAATATGATCATTATTTTCTTATCTTTATTGTTCATCAGATTGTTACTAATCTTTATAAATGGTTTATTTCTAGTCCAATCGAAATTATGTAATTAATTCTTAATCTTTTCAGTTTTCACTGCTAATCTTAACAATTATTTGTTCACTTTCATTATTATAATTATTGTGATTGGTGTCTCAAGTATGATCCCGAATCGGTGTCGGTTAGAGAAACCTTGAAAACCAGAGAGTACTGGACAGTTGTTTCATCCTAGTTGGCGACTCTTCTGCAATATGAATTTATAACCTCATTGGGGATCGAAGAGTCCAAGACCTTCAGGTTGATGAGGTGAGCTCATTGACCAATCAGTCATCTATGAATTCTAACTTCTATTAATTCAGGATTTTTAGCGCCATCGTCAACCAGTGACATCAGTGAGTACTTATTATTTCTGTCTTTCTAATGCATATGACTCCTTGGTTGTGTACTGATATCATACACTTAAGCTGATTGCTAACTGTTCTGTTCAACATAATGACATTCATTAAAGAACCGTTGGAAAACCTGGGAGTACTGGACAGCTGTTGAGTTCTAGTTTGGGACTCTTCATCAGTACGTACTTACAAACTCAGGCAAGAGGACAATTACTCGCTTGTGACGCTCACTGGCAGTTGCTCTAAATGTATATCACTAATTCGCAGACGTTGGAATTTATAGACCATTGAGTCAGGTCCCAGTGGCTGAATGGTCTATGAGGTCACCTCAAAACCTAGAGGTCCTAGATCCCAACCCTGATGGGGACATACATACTGATGAAGAGTCCCAAACTGGGGCGGGACAGCTGTCCAGTACTCTAATGGTTCTTAACTAATGTCAGTTCGAGACCAATCCAGTAACAAACCAAATCCCTGCATACCAACACACGATAATGGCATCCATCTAGTCTTCTCAGTTTTCAGTACAGCAGTGTGTGTAAATAGATTCAAGTACTATACAGAGTAACGTCCGCAGGGGAGTGATGATAATGTGTGTAATTTGGAGAGCTTCTGAAGAAGAAATGTAACAGGAATGAAAAGGCACTTTGAAAAATCCAATTAGAAACAGATAAGTGCGATATTATTATTACAGTTATTTCGAAATCGTGACATCAGTTTGAAGTTTATGGTATCCCAAATACTCACTGCATTTTATCATTATATATATATAATACATCCGCCCCGCAATTCTTTTTTCACTTCAGTATTCCTTTATCACCCTTTATCCAAAAGACGTGTTGAAATTATTCCCACTAAAAGCTGTCATGCTTCCTTCATTCAATATTTAGGTATGTAACATATTTTCACTGTTTAACAACAGTATGCATAAAATCATGTGTAAGTGTGGAGTAAAGATATCTGATCAGTCTCCTAATAAAATTTCATGACATTTCATACACGAATACGCCTTAGTAAACTTGGAGGAGAAAAAAAAGAAAGGGAAAAAAAAGGCAACCCACATATCCATTTTATCCTGCGCTTTCATGTGATATGTTAATACCTTTCTTTGTTTGTTCAAGCTACTTAAAATTTTTGCATTCAGTAAATTCTGCTCTAATAATCTTTTCCCCTGTTATATTTGTAAATATTTCAGCATAGCTAACATACAGACATACACATTTAGTCTTCAAGTAATTCGGATCACAAATTAATACCGACCATATGTAGTAAATGTTACAAAGAAATAATAAATTGAATAGGATTTATGAGTAACTCATTGTGATCACAGAACGAAAAAACACCTGGCTAGTTATTCATATTTCTGTTTATTATCTCTCTCTACTCTCTTCTCTTGCTTTGTGTGCTACATGGAGGGAGTGTGGCAACATGAACTGCTGCACACCTATGCTAAGTTCTACGTTGGAACCAGTCCAGTCCAGTCGTAAGCTTTTACTAACGTTTAACGAACTATTATGCAGAGGGAGAGAGACAGAGGGAGAGGGAGAGGAAACGAATCAGAATGGGAAACAAACTGCCTAGGAAATATGTCATATGGCAGGTTTTTGTACAGATTTGAATTGATCTCAATGTATGCGGATTTTGTCACGAACCAACATCAATTGGAGAATCTTTAAAAACTGGGAACCGCTGGACATAACTGTTACATCCCAGTTTTGGGACTCCCATGACTAAATCTACATCGGTATTCTCCACTTTGCTCCTATGTCTATCCTGAGTACAATTCAATAATCAAATTATTCATATTATTACATAACTTCTTTTTTAACAACTGTTTATGACAACTCATCACCTTTGTTACTACCCTAGTTTTATTAACACCCAATTTTCTTGCCCCCGTTTTTCGGATTACGTATCTCCACCCAAAACTTACTAATTGTTAATCACCACCCCCCCACCCCCAATTTATTTAAAATAACCATAACTAATTGCATTTTTGTTTGACAAATTTAATGTACACATACATAACAAAATAACCTCTATATATTTGCGATTGTATAGCTAAGAAAGCGTTGGTGGCACGGCGCGGTTAGGACGCTCGCCGACCATGCACATGGTCCAGGGTTCGATCCCCGGCCACCGACGCACTCCTTTACCTCGCTAAACCAGTAATGAGACTGGTAAAGAGGAAAGGTTGGGCATGAGGCTAGCAATCCCATCTTGTAGAAATTAAACAGTGCTACTAAAACTTCAAGCCACTAGCTTGTAGCCCTATGTTCCACTGGGGAACGTGAAGGAGAACAAAACAGCTAAGAGAATGAATTAACCGAAAAGAGGCTCTTCGCTGAACAACTACGTGTTTTTTGTTCATTAGTGCCTGGATGGGGATTATCCATGAATTAATCAAAATCCCTGCAAAAGCTTATAGTCTAAATAGCAATATTTAGCTTGCTGGAGGCTACTTGATGGATGGTCTGAAGTTGTAATGAGATGTCGTGACCAATGGGATACACCATCACATATGAAGATGAGGTAGCTGCTCATAAGTGGCATTAGTTGGCGGTAGCGCGCTACATTAATTACAGAGTGAAAAATAATTACGATTCATTGGTTACTGAGTTTCGGTGCGAATAACTGAATCGTCATCGAGCTGGCTTCGGGTTCGACCGTGGGTGGGGTTGTAGGCGGGCACACCACTGAAGAGCCTCAAAACCAGAATGCAACAGCTGTCCAGTATCCCTTGGCCTTCAGTGAATTTTTTTTTCACTGATGTTTCATTATGAAATCTATATTGAAATATCGTATATATTAAATAAAGTCGGATGATTTCTTAAAGCTTCTTAGTGTTGGTCGATTCAAGTACTTAACTTACATTAAATGAGATTACAGCTATTTATGCGTTTGAGAGGAGAAATCTTTTGAAGATACAAAAAGAAAGAAAATCTTAATCATATTAGAAGTATTTTTTTACGGATTGAATTATTTATGTGAATGGGATTTGTATGTAGGAGAAAAATTCACTCAACCGATAAATAACCCAATTTGTCCCTACCTTTATCGACTCCCATATTTCTAATCAGAGTTAATCTGGTCAATATGGCCAACTTTTAGCAATAGCAAAAATACTTTTGTTGCCCGTATATCTCACGTGCCAGTTGTTTGATCTGACCAAATTTACTTAAGATTAAGAACTAAGGTTTTTTTTTTCATGCATAGAAATCCATAATATATACAATACACTTAGAAAAAAATTAAGTAGTATAAAAACAAAATCTCAATCACATCATGCTGCAAAAAACAAGTTGAGAATATAATGTGCACTGAATTCTTACCAGAGCAGCTGAACAACGCCCACCCATAATGTAACGGTCACCACGATAGATACGACCTCGTGTAGCATTATTCACAAGTGTTGAAAATATTAGAATCAGAAAAGCTAATAGAACAGCTACAGCTCCGTTTACAACAGCAGCTATTCTTAAATACGGCAAACTACAAAAAGTTGATAAAAAAAATAATGATAAAGTGTTAGGAATAAGGAAAACAAGTTGCAAAGAAGGAATTAATCTTGATAATGCTTACTGTAAGTGTTGTGAACTTTTCTTATAATACGTATCTAGTCATATTCATATCTCTACCGCTATTAACACTCTTTTTTTCCTTTATATGTTTAAGCCATTCCGGCTTCATTGTAAAATGAATAAAGCCTAAATTCTTGGTTCATTCGTCTTTTCAAGATTCAAGCATCACTCATCGTTCTAAGACTCAATCACCTTCGTAACAATTTATTCATTTTACAATATTCATGGAACGATTTTTCCGACCTGATCGGTTCGACGTAGAACCTAACGCAGTTGGAGCTGCCAAGAAGTGGGATCACTGGTTTGCGACTTTTTCCTACTTCATTGAATCAATGGGATCCGAAAATCCTTCGAAACTACATATTCTCTTCAATCATATTTCTACTTCTGTATACGAATGCATTTCTGAATGCAAAACATACGAAGAAGCTATCGACACTCTCAAGAGTCTCTACATGCAGCCTTGCAACGAAGTGTTTGCTCGACACTTGTTAGCAACGTGTAAACAAGAATCTGGCGAAAATCTGGATCAGTTTGTTCGTCGACTCAAGTCGCTGACTACAGATTGTTCATTCAGGGCAGTTACAGCCGAAGAACATCGTAACGAATCTCTACGTGATTCATTCATCTCAGGTATACAGTCTTCGATGATACGCCAGAGGCTATTAGAACAGCGTACTTTAACTTTTCAAGCGGCATACGATCAAGCACGAGCTCTAGAGATGGCACATCAACAATCGCAGTCATACAACAATCCTGTTACACCTTGCGCGTCCATTTCTTTACATGATGTACCTCATTCATCAGATTCCACACCCTCCGTCAATGAAACAACCATTGCTGCCGTTGAATCCAAATGCTTTTTCTGTGGTAATCGTAGACATCCTCGTTCCAAATGCCCCGCCCGTGATGCAGTTTGCAAAGCTTGTGGCAAGCAAGGACATTTTCAGAAGGTTTGCAGGTCTGCGCCATCTACGAAAAAAGGTCCATCTTCAGTTAACTCTATAATTTCATCTCTCGTTGTGGCTTCAGCACCTCAAAGTCTCACTGATGCTGTTACGCAGCTTACTGTCAATGGGAAATCAATGCAAGCTCTAGTGGATACCGGAAGCAGTGAGAGCTACATCTCTTCCTCAGTTGTTCGTAAGTATAACTGGAAAGTCCATAAGTCTCGAAACAGAATCACAATGGCGAGTACGAATCTTACTAGTCATACTGAAGGACATTGTCTTCTATCCATCTGCTATAAAAACCACACTTATGATCTATTCAAATTTTCCATTCTTCATAATTTATGTGCAGACGTCCTTCTTGGACATGATTTTTTAAAACTTCACAAACACATTGAGATTCCTTTTGGGGGATCAAAGCCGCCTTTTTCTCTCTGTGGTCTACCTTGTGTTCGCGTCGACCTGCCTACTCTGTTTGAAAATCTTTCAAAAGACTGTAAACCGATCGCGATAAAATCCCGGCGTTATTCTCGTGAAGATGAAAGTTTTATTTCCACCGAAGTCAACCGGTTACTGCAAGAAGGTGTTATTGAACCTTCTAATTCTCCTTGGCGAGCTCAAGTTCTTGTTACGTCAAACGAACGCCATAAAAAGAGGATGGTAGTTGATTATAGTCAGACAATCAATCGATTCACTTTTCTGGATGCTTACCCATTACCTAGGATTGACGAAATGATAGAAAAAATCGCACAATATGACATATTCAGCACTCTTGATCTGAAGAATGCTTATCATCAAATTGCCCTAAGGAACGAAGATAAACCATATACTGCTTTCGAGGCTTGTGGGAAACTTTACCAATTTTGCCGAATTCCTTTTGGTGTTACCAATGGCGTAGCTTGTTTTCAACGCATTATCGATGAATTGATCAGTAAAGAACAACTCACAAGCACGTTTGCCTACATTGACAATGTCACTATCTGCGGCAAAACTCAGGAGGAACACGACAAAAATCTAAACAAGTTTATGGTAGCAGCACGCGATTATGGAATAACCCTTAATGATTCCAAAAGTGTGATCTCAAGCAGAAGCATACAATTACTCGGTTATGAAGTTTCAAAGGGGGTTATTAAACCAGATCCCGATCGGCTAAAACCTCTTCGTGATCTAGAACCACCCACAGATATCAAATCTCAACAACGGGCCGTTGGATTATTTGCTTATTATTCACAGTGGATCCCTCGCTTCTCAGATAAAATCCACCCATTGGTAAATAATCGGATTTTCCCTCTTGATATCGAAACTCGAAATGCTTTTGACAAACTGAAAGACGACTTAGAACGTGCAGTCGTTGTGGTAGTTGATCCGAAAGCACCCCTTGTTGTTGAAACAGATGCTTCAGATGTCTCAATTGCAGCTACATTAAACCAGAATGGTAAACCTGTCGCCTTCTTTTCTCGAAGCCTCTCTCGAAGTGAGAAACATCATTCATCGGTTGAGAAAGAAGCCTATGCCGTGGTTGAAGCAATTCGTAAGTGGAAGCATTACCTTCTCGGAAATCACTTCAAACTTGTCACTGATCAACGTTCAGTAGCATTCATGTTTGACAAGATTCATAAAGGCAAAATCAAGAACGATAAAATAATGCGTTGGAGAATTGAGCTATCCCCTTATCAATATGACATCATTTATCGTCCTGGAAGGGATAATCAAGCTGCTGATACATTTTCCCGTAGTTTCTGCGGTTCCTTGCAGTCAGTGTGCGACTTGAAATTTCTCCATGACTCTATGTGCCATCCTGGAGTTGTCCGAATGATGCATTTTGTACGCTCGAGAAACCTTCCATTCTCCCTTGACGAGGTGCGCAATGTAACCAGTAAATGCGTGACATGCTGTGAGTTAAAGCCTCAATTTTACAATCCCTCTAATTTCAAGGAGGTTCAGCATACTGAAGATTCTGTAGCAATTTTTTTGTTTGCAGGGTGGGGTTGCTAGCCTCACGCCTGAGAAAAGAATGATTACATTAAGTAAAAGTTTAGAGAGAAGCAACTTTTTGGGTTGCTCCCCTCAAAATCAAAAAATGACGGACAAACAATGAGAACAACGTCAACAAAGGAAACAGTTCAAGTCAGTGCTACTATACGGATCAGAGACTTGGCGAGTCATAAAGAGCATCTCAAACAAACTTCAAACCTTCATTAACAACTGTCTCCGCTCAATACTCAAGATCAGATGGCCAGAAAAGATCAGCAACAGGGATCTCTGGGAGCGAACCAATCAGGAACCGATTGTGAAACAAATAGGCAGAAAGAAATGGAGATGGATTGGCCATACGCTGAGGAAACCATCAAGTGACATCACTAGACAAGCCCTCGAGTGGAACCCGAAAGGGAGGCGGCGAGTTGGTCGTCCAAGGGTGACTTGGAGGAGGTCATGTGAAGAGGAGATGAAAGCATGTGGGCAGACCTGGAGCAGGGTGAAAAAGTTGTCAGAAAACCGAAGTCAATGGAGGTGCGCAGCTGAAGCCCTATGTTCCTCTAGGAACTAAAGGATACAATAATAATAATAATAATAATAATAATCTAATTTCAAACTCATAAAAGCAACCCAACCTTTTGAAAGGTTAAGCATCGACTTTAAAGGACCTCTACCGTCAGCTAGCCGCAATCACTATCTGCTCACGCTGATCGATGAATATTCTCGATTCCCCTTTGCATTCGCCTGCCCCGACATGTCGTCTCAAACGGTAATGAATTGCCTTTGCCAACTATTTTCGATTTTCGGTATGCCTTCTTACATACATACCGACAGAGGCGCTGCTTTCATGTCTACCGAATTACGGGCATTTCTTCTGGAGAAAGGCGTAGCAACCAGTCGTACTACCTCATACAATCCTCAAGCCAATGGGCAGGTCGAGCGCCTCAATGGAACACTTTGGCGTGCCATCACTCTAGCATTAAGATCACGGGGCCTACCAAAGGCACAATGGGAGTCTGTTCTACTCGACGCCTTGCATTCCATCAGATCTTTGCTCTGTACTGCAACGAACGCCACGCCACACGAACGACTGTTTACCTATAACCGAAGATCGACATCTGGGACAACTCTTCCTACTTGGCTCACTGTACCAGGACCAGTACTTCTCCGGCGGAGTGTTCGTCAGTCCAAATTCGATCCCCTGGTTGAAGAGGTGGAGCTATTGAATTGTAACCCGCAATTCGCTCACGTTCGCTTCGGTAATGGACGTGAAGATACAGTTGCTCTTCATCATCTGGCACCCAAAGGCGAAGATATAGATCAAGTTGAAAATGCAATACCGGAGGGCGACGCAATTCCTGAGCAACAAGTAAATGGGGATGCGACCACTGATCCTAATATTCTTCGTGAAGAAAATACAACTGAAACGAACAACGGGCGTATTCTTTTGGAAAAACAACAACGTGTACGGCCTTACAATTTGCGTACCAGAGAAGCGTGACATAATGGCTCATTCCTTTTCAAGTCGCAGTGAATGTTGTGAACTTTTCTTATAATACGTATCTAGTCATATTCATATCTCTACCGCTATTAACACTCTTTTTTTCCTTTATATGTTTAAGCCATTCCGGCTTCATTGTAAAATGAATAAAGCCTAAATTCTTGGTTCATTCGTCTTTTCAAGATTCAAGCATCACTCATCGTTCTAAGACTCAATCACCTTCGTAACAATTTATTCATTTTACAATATTCATGGAACGATTTTTCCGACCTGATCGGTTCGACGTAGAACCTAACGCAGTTGGAGCTGCCAAGAAGTGGGATCACTGGTTTGCGACTTTTTCCTACTTCATTGAATCAATGGGATCCGAAAATCCTTCGAAACTACATATTCTCTTCAATCATATTTCTACTTCTGTATACGAATGCATTTCTGAATGCAAAACATACGAAGAAGCTATCGACACTCTCAAGAGTCTCTACATGCAGCCTTGCAACGAAGTGTTTGCTCGACACTTGTTAGCAACGTGTAAACAAGAATCTGGCGAAAATCTGGATCAGTTTGTTCGTCGACTCAAGTCGCTGACTACAGATTGTTCATTCAGGGCAGTTACAGCCGAAGAACATCGTAACGAATCTCTACGTGATTCATTCATCTCAGGTATACAGTCTTCGATGATACGCCAGAGGCTATTAGAACAGCGTACTTTAACTTTTCAAGCGGCATACGATCAAGCACGAGCTCTAGAGATGGCACATCAACAATCGCAGTCATACAACAATCCTGTTACACCTTGCGCGTCCATTTCTTTACATGATGTACCTCATTCATCAGATTCCACACCCTCCGTCAATGAAACAACCATTGCTGCCGTTGAATCCAAATGCTTTTTCTGTGGTAATCGTAGACATCCTCGTTCCAAATGCCCCGCCCGTGATGCAGTTTGCAAAGCTTGTGGCAAGCAAGGACATTTTCAGAAGGTTTGCAGGTCTGCGCCATCTACGAAAAAAGGTCCATCTTCAGTTAACTCTATAATTTCATCTCTCGTTGTGGCTTCAGCACCTCAAAGTCTCACTGATGCTGTTACGCAGCTTACTGTCAATGGGAAATCAATGCAAGCTCTAGTGGATACCGGAAGCAGTGAGAGCTACATCTCTTCCTCAGTTGTTCGTAAGTATAACTGGAAAGTCCATAAGTCTCGAAACAGAATCACAATGGCGAGTACGAATCTTACTAGTCATACTGAAGGACATTGTCTTCTATCCATCTGCTATAAAAACCACACTTATGATCTATTCAAATTTTCCATTCTTCATAATTTATGTGCAGACGTCCTTCTTGGACATGATTTTTTAAAACTTCACAAACACATTGAGATTCCTTTTGGGGGATCAAAGCCGCCTTTTTCTCTCTGTGGTCTACCTTGTGTTCGCGTCGACCTGCCTACTCTGTTTGAAAATCTTTCAAAAGACTGTAAACCGATCGCGATAAAATCCCGGCGTTATTCTCGTGAAGATGAAAGTTTTATTTCCACCGAAGTCAACCGGTTACTGCAAGAAGGTGTTATTGAACCTTCTAATTCTCCTTGGCGAGCTCAAGTTCTTGTTACGTCAAACGAACGCCATAAAAAGAGGATGGTAGTTGATTATAGTCAGACAATCAATCGATTCACTTTTCTGGATGCTTACCCATTACCTAGGATTGACGAAATGATAGAAAAAATCGCACAATATGACATATTCAGCACTCTTGATCTGAAGAATGCTTATCATCAAATTGCCCTAAGGAACGAAGATAAACCATATACTGCTTTCGAGGCTTGTGGGAAACTTTACCAATTTTGCCGAATTCCTTTTGGTGTTACCAATGGCGTAGCTTGTTTTCAACGCATTATCGATGAATTGATCAGTAAAGAACAACTCACAAGCACGTTTGCCTACATTGACAATGTCACTATCTGCGGCAAAACTCAGGAGGAACACGACAAAAATCTAAACAAGTTTATGGTAGCAGCACGCGATTATGGAATAACCCTTAATGATTCCAAAAGTGTGATCTCAAGCAGAAGCATACAATTACTCGGTTATGAAGTTTCAAAGGGGGTTATTAAACCAGATCCCGATCGGCTAAAACCTCTTCGTGATCTAGAACCACCCACAGATATCAAATCTCAACAACGGGCCGTTGGATTATTTGCTTATTATTCACAGTGGATCCCTCGCTTCTCAGATAAAATCCACCCATTGGTAAATAATCGGATTTTCCCTCTTGATATCGAAACTCGAAATGCTTTTGACAAACTGAAAGACGACTTAGAACGTGCAGTCGTTGTGGTAGTTGATCCGAAAGCACCCCTTGTTGTTGAAACAGATGCTTCAGATGTCTCAATTGCAGCTACATTAAACCAGAATGGTAAACCTGTCGCCTTCTTTTCTCGAAGCCTCTCTCGAAGTGAGAAACATCATTCATCGGTTGAGAAAGAAGCCTATGCCGTGGTTGAAGCAATTCGTAAGTGGAAGCATTACCTTCTCGGAAATCACTTCAAACTTGTCACTGATCAACGTTCAGTAGCATTCATGTTTGACAAGATTCATAAAGGCAAAATCAAGAACGATAAAATAATGCGTTGGAGAATTGAGCTATCCCCTTATCAATATGACATCATTTATCGTCCTGGAAGGGATAATCAAGCTGCTGATACATTTTCCCGTAGTTTCTGCGGTTCCTTGCAGTCAGTGTGCGACTTGAAATTTCTCCATGACTCTATGTGCCATCCTGGAGTTGTCCGAATGATGCATTTTGTACGCTCGAGAAACCTTCCATTCTCCCTTGACGAGGTGCGCAATGTAACCAGTAAATGCGTGACATGCTGTGAGTTAAAGCCTCAATTTTACAATCCCTCTAATTTCAAACTCATAAAAGCAACCCAACCTTTTGAAAGGTTAAGCATCGACTTTAAAGGACCTCTACCGTCAGCTAGCCGCAATCACTATCTGCTCACGCTGATCGATGAATATTCTCGATTCCCCTTTGCATTCGCCTGCCCCGACATGTCGTCTCAAACGGTAATGAATTGCCTTTGCCAACTGTTTTCGATTTTCGGTATGCCTTCTTACATACATACCGACAGAGGCGCTGCTTTCATGTCTACCGAATTACGGGCATTTCTTCTGGAGAAAGGCGTAGCAACCAGTCGTACTACCTCATACAATCCTCAAGCCAATGGGCAGGTCGAGCGCCTCAATGGAACACTTTGGCGTGCCATCACTCTAGCATTAAGATCACGGGGCCTACCAACGGCACAATGGGAGTCTGTTCTACTCGACGCCTTGCATTCCATCAGATCTTTGCTCTGTACTGCAACGAACGCCACGCCACACGAACGACTGTTTACCTATAACCGAAGATCGACATCTGGGACAACTCTTCCTACTTGGCTCACTGTACCAGGACCAGTACTTCTCCGGCGGAGTGTTCGTCAGTCCAAATTCGATCCCCTGGTTGAAGAGGTGGAGCTATTGAATTGTAACCCGCAATTCGCTCACGTTCGCTTCGGTAATGGACGTGAAGATACAGTTGCTCTTCATCATCTGGCACCCAAAGGCGAAGATATAGATCAAGTTGAAAATTCAATACCGGAGGGCGACGCAATTCCTGAGCAACAAGTAAATGGGGATGCGACCACTGATCCTAATATTCTTCGTGAAGAAAATACAACTGAAACGAACAACGGGCGTATTCTTTTGGAAAAACAACAACGTGTACGGCCTTACAATTTGCGTACCAGAGAAGCGTGACATAATGGCTCATTCCTTTTCAAGCCGCAGTGAATGTTGTGAACTTTTCTTATAATACGTATCTAGTCATATTCATATCTCTACCGCTATTAACACTCTTTTTTTCCTTTATATGTTTAAGCCATTCCGGCTTCATTGTAAAATGAATAAAGCCTAAATTCTTGGTTCATTCGTCTTTTCAAGATTCAAGCATCACTCATCGTTCTAAGACTCAATCACCTTCGTAACAGTAAGGATCTAAAATCAATAGTCATGAAAGTTTTAAAAATGATTAAAAAGGCTCTAACGAAGTAAGTACCACAAAACCATAATGTCCTTAGGTAGACGAGGAAAAATTCATACTGAAAACGGTTAGTCGGCAGCTACTTAAATGTCTGTGTATTTTTCAGTCATATCGAATTGTGAAGGCTGATAAAGCTTGGTCGACTAAACGTCGATGGGCAAAGTACTATCTAAGGTCAATGAGTGACAGCTATCTGCTTCGATCAGTTCCACTTTTAGCATCAGGAGAGAAAATGAGTGCATGAGTCATTTGTCAAGTGACAAAATACCTACATCATAATGATTATCAGAAACTATTGACAATGGCAAAGGAGACCAAGAAGGTAGATGACAGCATTGAAAAGCCAACGAGCCTTGTTAAAACGACTGATTAATGTAGACATTGTAGGGGAACTGAATACAATGACGAGTAAAATGTAGTGTTCTCGATAAATTACTGGCTGCTAAGTGGCCTTTACTTCTATCCTCTATTAACATCTTGACGGTAACCAAAATTAGATTCTGGAATACTAGTATGCTGGGTGTAGTCAGTAACACACACACTATTCTCAAACGATTGCTCATGCAAACACTAACCGGACATAATGTGGCTTAACGCCGTTAGTGAGATGAAGACCGGTATTTCCAACATGGTATTGTCGCCAACAGCTATTATTTTCCGTATAATATAATCACAATTCTCAATTATATCTCTCCTTAAAGGGTTAGTCTAACTGTTTTTCAATAGCACTGTTGGAAATTTAAGTGAGCCATCTCGCATACACATACTAGCTACTTTGATTAAATGCGATTTGCTTAAAAAATTTGAACAGTCATTTTTTGTTATCAAGAGATAATTCCCTCCTAAACGAATATATATAACATTATCACAGTCTTTCAGCGAAAAAAGTAATTGAAATTGTTTAAATTCGATTCATAGAAGAAACCATAATACCACAATGAAATATAAAAAAAATAGCGAGTTTGCTCACTGATAACACTTAAAACAACTTACGAGTGAACAGGAAAAAAATAAAGTCGAAAGTATGTATCAATACGTGAAATTCCAGAATATATTGTACCACATAAAACACCACCTCCGACAAGTACAAGGATGAATCCGATCACCGAGTTGTAAGGAACACGACCAAGACAGCTCCCTTTGTCTAATTTTTTAAAAAAATCAACGGGAACAGGTATGTAATACATTATATATAGTCCCATTAAAATGTGTAGAAGAAAAATCAATCAGAGAATTGTTGATATTATGTGGTTGGAGGCAATCAATAAGGAAGCCTTGGACCTAGGTCTCAGGCTTGTCGGCACTCGTCAGCAAGGCGTATGAGCAGCCTTTAAAAGGAACTTATGTCCCCTCTGAGACTCGAACCCGTGTCACCCAGTGCTGTAATCAGCAACGTCACCATGAACCATTACATGATGCATGTAAATTTACAATATAAACCGCAGAAAAGTTTCTCAGTTGTATTTTTTCTTACTACTAAAACTATCTTTCTAAGGGGGAAGATGATTCCACAAAGCAACTACAAAATATCCAGCTGAAAAATAAAAACGCATAAACTAATACGAAACAGGGATATCACACCTAACGACACTAGCAAATTGCACCGATCGAAGTAGGTGTAGAGTTAGAACCCATAGTCCACCTAAAATTCAGTAATTAAGCCGATGAGTCCCACCATTTGTTTCCGGGACGACAACGATACCACACGCCTGCTAAGACCTCAGTAGATGGGGCGGAAATCACCCTCAGGAGACACTTGTTAAGATCGAATGACTAAAACCGATGAGCCACGATTCCATATGTGGAAAATTGTGAAGTATTTGCTAAATAGTTGGATGCTGGGTTCTTTTTTCCTTATTAACAGATCCATAAACCTAGAGGTATTAAATCACAGACTAGGAAGTTTTTGAGTATATAATATAGTGTATTATTAGTTTTATAGCACAGCTTAAAAGCGTCACTATGACAGGAAGTACACTACTTTATGATTGGGAGTGAAAAAGTCAGCAAGTTTTTTTCAGCAATAAACTCATATTACAGCTTTCAGCAATGTCTCTTAGGAATGGGCTATTAAATTACACGTTGGTTGATTGGGACTCAGTTATCCGATATAAGACTATGAGCCATATTTATTATGTGAAGGCTGATGATAGTACCCAGTTGTTCAAGCTGAAGTAGTGGGGAGGCGAATCGAACCCAGGACTGACTGGCTGTTTCAACATAGGATTTAGCACAGAGGTGATGCATTTTAGGTTGCCACGTTCCATGTAGCATAGAAAGACAAACAAAAGAGAGAAAAGGAGTTCTAAAAGAAACAGGAATATGAGGGAAACAGAAGAGTTACATGAGAAAGAAAACTAAGGTTTACTGGATATGGGAGACCAAACTGAGTGAGTGTATCTGCCCAATGAGAACAATTTTCAGCCATATCACTACTAGGCTCCAACCACTAGATTCTAGCATCTTGAGGACCAGGGACACAGTAGTTGCAAGTGGAGTACTTAAGCAAATAGTTATATCTCGACGCCAACAGATTACAAAGCAGTGCAATTTCTAGTGTTCAGTTGAACTTCCGATAAACTGAATCAGAACTAAGCCGGATTTTGAGGCCTAAACAAATTTGGATAACGTGAAATGTTGCTGAACAACCATTTGCATTCATACGCGTTTAATACTGAGCTACATCTAATGTCTGAGCTGATTGCTTGATTGCCCAGACTTCCATAGGTGGAACGAGGTTTTAACTCAAAAACCAGTTGTTTTAAAGTCGGGACTATGAAGTAATAAGCCACACCATCACAAAATTACATTATTACATTACACTAGCCCATCAATAGTTATCTAAATGACCACATAATAAGATGGTAGTAACGTGTTTTCCATCCCAGTGCAATGAAGACACTTTCAGTTTACAATCATACTGACAGCAGCAGATTGTGGTTCGTGAATATTTGTGAAACGTTTCCAGCTTCCGCTCCCTTAAAAAGTAAATTATTACTCAGAGATTTATTAACATAAATATATCGTTTGAGTATAGGTCGTACATTTACCGACAATTCCGCTCATTTTCATACACTATGATAATTCGTTTGCCGATGAAGTATATGTACGTATATAAAAAGCTCGTATAACTTTTGCTGAAGCATGATACTTGCAGTTCAGGAGGAATTTACTATTACCTACAAAGGGTCGTGTGCATTATGCATGAGGTGAATTCATGTGTTAACAGGACTATTTCTGAATAAAGAGGTTGGTAGTCACCGGTTGCCTAATTGTGTAAGGACACGTGGCTTCGCTGATTAAAGTTCACCTGATAACTGGAAAGTACGGTTACTCTTGGAGATATGTCTGTCTGTCTGGATTAAACATAGAACTTGGCACCGAAGTGCAGCACTTCGAGTTGCCACGTTCCAAATAGCACACAAAGGTGGACAAGAATAATAATAATAATAATAATAACAGCTTTATTCCAAACAGTATTTTTGGTACAGGTATGGAATTTTCAGCATGCATTACAGTATATTGCATCTAGTTACCTCATAAATTATATAAGATTTTTAAAAATCAGAGATAAATAAATAAAAAATAAAATAAATAAGTTATAAATAAATAAAATAAATAAATATTAAAAATTACGAAAAAAAACAGCGTAGAGTATTTCATTTCAAACAATGCACCACAGGATTTGAAATATTAAGTTGATATGTGGTAGAAGATGAGAACAACAGTGTAGTAGTAACAGGGAAAGGAAAAGAAAAACCTAATGAGACTATTTGTTAGAGTGCCGCAGTAACTTTATCGTGTCATAGCTAACGGATTTCTCATCACATAACAGCTGTGCCAGATATGGTATTGTGGACTTTTTGTATTTGGTAGTCCTAGCATATAGCCTCCTATAGCTGCTTCTAGTTCTTCCAGATGAAATGCAAGGAGAGAGCTGAGTATAGAGAGGATGCTCGGGGTCCGACAATATTGTATTCGCTAGTTTCTTACATGACATAATATGTCTATCTACAATAGTGTTCACCAGTTGGTTTAACGATATCCCACTTGCTCTACTAACAGCTTTTAGTGCCCTTCTCAGCGAAGCAAAGTCTTTCTTTAGTAGTCCAGGAAAGATTAATGGGGAGCAGTAAAGGAGGATGGGTAGAATACAAGAATTTACAAACTGAGAAAGTAAAGACTGGTTTATGCCAGACTGCCTAAATTTCCTAATGTAGAACGTTAAGCGAAACATCTTTCTAGTAACTAGCAAGATGTGGGAAGACCAGGAAAGATCGGTGGAAAAACACAGCCCAAGGTACTTGACATAAGATGTATTTTCAACCTCTGTGCCGTCAATGAGAGTGGGGCCATGTGAGCCAACTAGTTGCTGTAGGTCACATTTACGTCTGAAAGCGAAATTGACTACCTGACATTTAGACGGATTAAGCTTAAGTCCGTTTGAAGAGGACCACTGACTAATTTCTGACAGAAAGCTATTTAATTTGGAACAATCTGACTGAGAGTTGACAGGCATAGAAACCGAGAGGTCATCGGCATATTTAACAAAAGTAGCTACATCAGAATGGGGCAAGTCATGTAAGAAAAACGAGAACAGAAAGGGAGAAAGAACAGCACCTTGAGGAACACCAGCTAAAGTAAGTGAGGTAGTGGAGGATTTTCCATTGTAGACGGTGTACTGCTTCCTATCAGAAAAATAGGAATGCAACCACTTATTTGTCCAGCTCTCAGCCTGTGTTGCAGCAAGCTTACTTAGCAAGAGAGACCTGGGAACAGAGTCAAATGCAGATGTGTAGTCAAGGAAGGCACAGCGAACGTATTTAGCCCCTTTATCTAAACTAGAGACTATGCTATGGTGGAGGACGACAGCGGCATCTAACGTACTCCTACTATGTTTATAAGCAAACTGGTTGGGGTCGTTGAAAGGTTTTAAAGAGGGATCAAGATTAAGTAAAATAAGTCTTTCCATAACTTTCAAAAAGGGTGAGGTAATTGAAATGGGTCTAAACTTAACATTAGGTCCACTTGTAGATTTAGGCACTGGAACGATCTTGATGTTTTTCCATGATTCAGGTATAATACTTTTGGAAAACGATTCGTTGAAAATGTCAGTTAGCGGGGAACACAAGATGTCGGCACACTCCTTAAGGATAACAGCAGGAACACCATCAGGACCGAGGGACTGAGTAGGCTTGAGAGATTGAAGACACTTGAGGACATCATTCGTGTTAAAGCATGAGAAGCAGTCATTGTTTACACTATTTGAGTTAGGAATCATAACATTTGCTGGGATACATATGAAGGATTCATTAAGCATGATTGAAGAGAAATAATAGAGTTTCACAAGTATAAGAGTGAAACAGAATGGGTAATGGTAGAAAGATATATGAAAGATTACAGAGACTGAATACATCTGCGCTGGCCATTGACAACGATTTTGAGCCATGTCACCTATTGTCTCCAGCCATTGATCCCTAGAGTCCCGAGGGTCCCAACCCGGAAGTCTGCATCTCCCTACCTGACTCAGTTTAACTGTCAAGGATTTCATGGATTGATGAGGCCATGTTTTTGTTTGGCCACCACTTACTCTTTTCCAACCTGCACCTATATCAGCTAGTAATGCCCGTGGTCGGGGGAGGCGATGGTTAGGCATGCGCAGCACGTGACCTAGCCATCTCAATCTATGTAACTTTATAGCCTCGTCGATTGATTTTCCCTCTTTGCCCAACACTCTACGCCTAACGTCAACATTACTTATCTTGTGAAACCACCTAACGTGAGACAGAGATCGCAGACATCTATGATCGAAAGCAGTTAACCTTTTCATGTCTTCAACTCGTATTGGCCATGTTTCAGAGCCATAGACAAGGACGGAGAGAACTGATGAGCAGTACACACGTCCCTTGGTTGATAGCCGGATGTCATGCCTACGCCAGAGATGGTGTAAGTCAGCGAAAGCAGCTCGAGCTTTTTGGATCCGTGCTGAGATTTCATCGCCAATCAGTCTGTCGGTGCTAATACAACTTCCCAAATAGGTGAAGTGGTCAACATGTTCTATCACTCCACTCCCTATCACTAAGCTAGGAGCTGACGTAGTCCAGTCCTGTAGCAGCATCTTACATTTTGCAGGGGCGAATCGCACGCCAAACATACGAAGATTGCTGCTCAAGGTGTTCAGAAGACTCTGCATTTTGTCAGCATCCTCCCCTAGCAGGACTATGTCATCTGCATATTCTAAGTTCATAAGACTATTCCCTGGTAACAAGTCGATTCCTAAGTCGTTACGTTCAGTTAAGGATACTTCCATCAGCATATCTATGATGAAGTTAAACAGAAATGGGGAAAGTGGACATCCCTGTCGGACACCACTGGTTGTTACCAATTCAGATGACAATTCCCCATAAGCCCTTACACGACTACGTGAGTTTGAATAGAGTGCCTTGATTAGTGCAATGTACTTTCTTGGCACTCCCTTCACAGTCAGACATTGCCATAGTACCTTTCGATCCACTGAGTCGAAGGCCGCCTTTAAGTCAAGAAATATGGCAATTGTTGGACGCCGAAAAGTGTGTCTATGTTCTAGAATCTGTCAAAGAGTAAAGATATGATCTATGCACCCTCTACCTGGTCTAAAGCCTGCTTTAGATATAATTCTAAATTGATCAGACGCTTCTATCGATGACGTCTTATCATATCTTCACAGTTATCTTGTTTTTTGTTACCTATCATTTTACATGCTTAGACGTTGTGTGGTAACCGAGGACACTAAGGACTAACGCTAACATGATTTTACCGTTAAATAAGAACATCATTTATGCATTTGTACTAATAAAATGAACCCTCCCAAAGACGCTTAAAGATATATATATATATATATATATATATATATATATATATATAAGAGAGAGAGAGAGAGAGAGAGAGAGGAAAGCATGAGTCTAGAAGTATTTAGGCATTACAGTCGCTAATGCAAAATGTGACTGTTTTATACATTAATATCATTCCTAAGCCATAGTTACGAATCACATGTAAGTTGTGTGTTGTTAGTTATCAGCACTTATTTGTGAACAAGACGAAAGTATTAATTTACTCGACAAAACTATAATGCCAGTGTTGCGTTTTAGTTAAAAGAAAATATTGTGATTCTTGGAGCAATGCATTAGTCATTTAATTCCACTGATACAAAATGTCACTTCTGTTAAAAGCATAACAGTTTAAAAAGGGGAATTACCCTAATAGAATGCATTGTAAATAACCAGATGTGTTATGAGCTTACAGAATAATAAACGGGAGTGAATTCCATTAAGAAACAAACACTATGAGAATCAGTAACGCCACACGGTGAGAGATGGATTATGTCATGCCTCAGTAAGCAACTCTGGGCTTAGCAATACGGAGAACGGTAGTTCTTATACTAATTTAACAACGATGCACATATAGTAACAGTTGTCGCGGTTTAATGCGACCACTACTCCATATGGGAAATATTTATACGATATAGCACAGTAATATAGTATTAATAACTGCATGACATTTCGAAAACAATTTATGGCGAAGTTAAAGTATCATAGCCAAAGTCAAGGTTTTTAAAAAGTCAACCCCCAAGAACTAATCAGATACTGGAAAGGCCACGAAAGGTCGTTTCAAATTTTTTGGTCTTGGAGAGGGTAGATACAGTATTATGTTTACTTACTACGTATTTTCTGAAAATCTTTATTGTTAGGTTGGATTGTGGCTTTTAAGACTAAAGTTTAGCGCCTGGGGTTAAGGTCAGAATTAGGGTTAAAGTTAGGAGTGTATTTAGAGTTAGGAGTAAGTTGAAGAATAGTGTCAGAAATATCAATGGATTTCAAAGTACCATGACCTACAGTCACCTGGATGAATGCATCTATTGCGCGTGGTATGATTTCTCTATAGATCATCTGTGCAGTGAATGAGACACTTACAACACATACGAGACTGCATATTGTAATATTATGTCCAAAGTTTTTTTAATGCATTTCTTAACGATTATGCGACTTTATGGTATCTGGATTCTCATTGGCTGTTCAAGGTTGGTAAGAATTTGGTTATGATATTTCAACTTTGCCCAATTTATTGCTCATTATCACATCAGTCTATCCACAGAGCTTGATGGTTGATATGATTATGAAGAATAAATAATTCTCGAAGTCATCTACTTATTAATTAATACTGTATCACTGTGTTGTATTAAGTAAACTTATCTGATAAATTTGAGAATATACCACTGACCAAATTCTACGCTTAATGGGATTATCAACACTTCCAGGAGGCTGGCAGCCTAATTGAAACTTTGGTTGTAAACTTAATCCTAGTTGTAAACCTAAACCTCTTAATGTATGGTAGAAATCTGTGGTCCTGCAGATCGTCCGTGGCCACATGAACATGCACAACACTGGCCGAGTCAAAATATCATTCAGTCGTAAAAATAATATTGATAAATGCAGAGGATTAAATTCTGTTCTTAGGGGAAAACTGAGAAAAGCAAGTTAGAGAAAATCAAGACCAAGTGCCACAGCTCAGTCCAAAGACTTAGAAGTTAAATGGAAACTTTAGAACACTGGTCCTCTAAAATGTGACTGCACATTGCTTACCAGTAAACAACTGGAGGTTAATAACGTTTAGTCAAATATTCAGAGCAACCACGTACACAGTACAATAGATGCACGTGAACCAACTCGTGAAAAAGCCTGCCTCAACACGTTTTTATGTATCGCCATAGATATTAGTGAATGCTAAGGAGTAGGAGTTCGTGTCGCACCACATGTGTGCATGATTGTTGATTTCTAATAAATCCGCTAGATCTCGGCACATTGACATTAAGATTATTAGAAGAAATGACACAATGTAAGGAATAAACACAGTCTTAAATATCAGATATGATTCTGCAGACGACCACAGAACAAATCGAAGCCTAAAAATGTTATGAACAAAAAGAACTGGATAAACACCATAACCACGAAATATCTAAGAAATATTCTGCAGTTCATCTCAGATTTTACGTAGAAAGATACTGAATGAAGGACAAACAGAAGTGCTTTAGTTGTTAACATACAGCATGCGACAGCCGCAGATTTCAAAGAAAAACCTCGATTTTGAATCCCAAAAAAACATCTGAAGATACAACAAAACCAAACCCATGTGAAATAAACAACCAAAGTGTTTGCAAACATACTTATTAGACTTATAAGCATTACAATCTAAAGGCTGAACGAACTCACCCATCTGAAGGTCATTTGATACGCCAAAAGCAAATAACGCGCCAGGGTGAATTACTAACCCTAAAATTACCAAAACTGAGCGGTAAAAGAAGAGTTATTGATTTTTAGCACCAACTCATAACAAATAAAGCATTCAGTGTACGGAAGCAATTCATTAATCAGAAGATAATTTCTGTGAATGCTTTTTATGGTGATACTTGAAATATTTGATAATATTAAAGAGAACGCAATCACTAAAATATCCAGTCCAACTGTTGAATTTTCAAGTAAATCCATGATTCCTACATTAGCAGTGTCCTTCGAGTGGCGCTTGATCTGCGGCATATTCGTCAATATTTGTAAAAATTTCGATATCGTAATTTCCTCTAAATTTTTGACGGGTAATAAGCTTTATACACCCTCTCTATTGGGTCTGAGGCTTCACTTAGCAAAATATACAGAGAAACATATACCTTAAACTTATCAAAACATGGTCAAGGTGGTTATCTTGATGTTATCAAATATCATAATCCAACATATAGGCTGAAACAGTCACCAATGTAAACTTATCACTATACTGGCATTATTAGTTTTGACTGGAAATAAAGATTTGAAAAATGGGGAAAATCATTGAAAGGGTAATGAGTAAAAAATTCAGCCCTAATTGATGAGACGATAACATTGCTTCAAAGATATCTCCCGATAATTACTTGTGTCCTTATATTTTAGCCGGTTCCTCGATTGAGTTAAATACGCATGTCCTTGAAATTTATGGTATGTGTATTACAAAGCGGAGCACTTAAGTGATCCGATAGGGCAGAGGTTCGGAAGACTGCTTACAAACATTTCTTGGTAATCGGCATCTTGGATGGAGTCGCGAGAAGCTCAATACATGAGTTCGTGTCGAATGGAAAATCAAATTATGATTAGTGACTTCTTGACTTTGAACGGTGGGTTTCACACATGTTCACAGCTTCTACAAACGCTAAAATTTCAGAGGCCATTTGAAATTGTGCATGTTGTAATTCAAATAAACATTGGCATTTCTATAAAATTATCTACTTTCATCAAACATTGCTGCATATCTACTTGGAAGGGCTTTGAGTGTTAGACTGGAGCATGCTTGAACTTGACACCTATCGTGAGTACTACACTTCGACATGATTATCATAGTCATTATTTTTCCCTAGGGTTCCAGATGAAGCATAAGCTCTCAGCAGCCCGCAGCTGTTCCACCCCACCATCTGCAGTCTTTCAAAGCTGGCTGTGAAGTCTTCCACAAGCCGTCATCCCAAACTCAAATATCAGCCTCCATGCCACACTTTGACAACCAACTCATGGTTTCTCATTCGAGTTCCAAGCAGTTAAAACTGATATTGGGGCAACTCTAAGACAAACACACGGAGCGCAGCATCCCTTCGTATTGGTTTCGCGGTTAGTTTCATTACACAGCTGTATGATATATTCTAGAAATGCGAAATGGTCTGAAAACGAGTGGGTATAGTTTCATTGCTGATACCTGCCACAAAAATGGAAAATTATTTGCAAATGGAAAGCTAATGCCTTTGACAGTTAGTTCAGAAGTTAATCTCAAAATTTACAAAGAATCATTATGAAGATACTAAAGTAATACTCATTACCTGCAATAAACTATACGGCTCGTCATATTTTGAAGTAAAAACCATATTCAGCCTGATTTAAATGGATTTAAGTAACTAAGTACCACTCCAGCTGTAAAACACTCATCAAGGAGATTGGGAACTTCCCTAGACCGGAGATTCATCTCTATGACGACGTCTCAAAACACATTGAGTGGAGTCTGTTAGTCGGGGCTAGTGTACTTTGCTACGATCTTCATTCCTGTAGACGTTTGGCAAGCTCTCACGGGAACATGAAATGAAAAACTACGTGAACCTTCCGACCTAAGATTCTGACTGGATAAGCAGTTCGAATTCACCCGCAGTGAGTCCAAGCATATTATTTACAAAGTATTCAATTCTAGATAGGGCTAAGGATGGAATGCCAGTGTCTGGATCAACATAAAAAATAACCTCTTTGACTCCATTTGCGACTTTATACGACATACCATCTGATGCGTTTCACCCGTATACTAGGTACTCCTACTGTGCCCAGACAGAGAGAGGACAAATACTTCCGAGTATCTAAATGGAACTGGCCAAAAAATTACACAACCGAGGTGTTTCAGCCACCCACTCAGTTTCACATACATGTCCTCTCCTTGGTTTGTAGTAAGCGTATTCCCAGGCATTTCAGCGGAACTGATAGCAGAATCCTTAGTAGCTATCTGCATCTGAATTAACCAAGATTGGTAAACTTACATTTCACTTGTGAGAGCCGATGTTCAGCTTCGAAGTGAAGCGAAGATGTCAGTAAAATTGGCACCACCCCCAAATACAGAATCCTATATGCTTCCAAGAAAGAGAATCCAAATTTGTTTGCGTAAAATTAGGGGCACACCTGCAAAAGCTCGGCTACACTTGTTTGGCACACTGGTTTAAATTTCTGTCAGAAAGCTTTTTGCAGATAATTTTAATGAAATTGTGTTAGTTTTCTGGATTGATTGGAACTCTCATTTAACTACACCGTATGTTGGTGTCCGCAACATGTGATATGACTGCAGCACGGTGTTAGCATATTGGTGTCACGGGTTACCGTTTCATGTGAATTGTGGTGAAATATTGCTTTAATCAGCAGTATGGAATTGTTGGACAGTAAAATCATCCGCACAAACAGTCTACTTTGTGTGGAAGCTACACTTTTTCACATTGAAGACTTCACATATCTTAGCCTAGTAATCAGTGAAGCAGACAATCGCACAACATCAGTGTAGTTGATAAATCTTTTATACACTGAATTGACACAACACTGCATCGACTGGTGCAATAGTGAATATATTCTCAGTTTTTGTTTAGGTTCGTTAGTTTACAGGCATAAGAAATCAGATAAATAACTTGTACATGGAGTAAGCATATTTACTGTCTATGTAGTTGAAGATTGAACGATCAATTCATGGTTGTTTTCTCAAACCCAACTCCTTCATATTTTTCGCGGGAGTCATCAATACTACAATCGTCGTGTCATCGTTCGCTGTCCGTCGGATAAGAGAAAAACTATCAGCAAATTTGTGTACAACAACCTAATGGTTGGCTTTGTATTGGTGCAAGAATAAAAGGTTCTTGAGCCACAAATTTGGGTAATGGATTTCCAGTTGGTTATTGAGTATAGTTCCCGAAAGTCTTCCAAGGACAATATGAAGTCCAGTGTCAATCACGTACCAAAAACCGTTAATGCCCACCGCTTGCTACGTCGGGCCTATCGATGTACCTCGGAGAATTTCAAAAATGGTTAGTACTAACGGACGCAAAAACCAGAACACAGATTGACGACTAGAGAATCCTTTATTCTTACACCAATGTGTAACCAAAAATAAGGTTATTATGCACAAGGTCTAAGAATAAATGTTATAACAAAAATAACGGTAATACTTGTGACAGTTTTTTATTCAAAGCCCAAGATATAACCAGCATAATAAAATAAGGTCTAAGAACAAATATTACAACAATAAATCATGATATTACTTCTGACAGTGTTTTCTAGCTGCTTTCTGTACAGCGACCGACGAGACGATGACTGCTGGATTGATGACTCCCGCGAAAAATATGAAGGAGTTGGGTTTGAGCAAACAACCATGAATTGATCGTTCAATCTTCAACTACAGTGACACTCTCTGGAATAAAGGGATCCATCACTTTTTTCCATCATGACCAATACACGTTGACTTGGATGCCATTGCTAGAACCTGGGTCACGTGGACAAAGCTGAAATAGAAAACAAACAGAAAAGCCAACACACCATAAGCATACCCACAGCAAAATCTCACACATCGATGACGACCTACTCCTTCCAGTTAAAGGCATCCTCTTGACATCTTGCAACACAATCGCCACTTGCCAGAATGAATCTTGCAGAACGCAACGTGACCATAGCAGCACCTCATGATACTCTTCGCACATCTTCTTATCTATTCACTATCAATTACCACTGCAATCGGTTGTCACTCATTCTGCCTCAGTTCTAGTAACGGTGACGCATGCGAGCCTCAGTCGTGTACACTCTTTCTCCCCGGCGTGTCAGATCGCAGCTAACAATTATCTCCGTGCGCATTTCATTCTCAGCATTAGCCTAGCCTCCCCGGCGTATACGACCCATCTGCTGTCTCCAACATCAATCAATTCATTCATGGACGTAGAAGACTCGAAACAACTTCAGAAGTAATCACGACGAAAATTTTAACAAAATTACGCAATAACAACAAGGTACGAAAACAACGAGTAAACACAATGAATCCAAAAAACACCAATTGATATGACACACCACACATATATACAAACAGTAAACATAACCTCGCGGATCATGTCTCTATGTAATTCCTTTGAAGAACCGCAGGACTTACACCAGTACGCCTGTAACCCCTTTCAGGTTGACGATTGTAAGTTGAAGAATGTCTGGACGCAAACAAAATTACCAACAGACAGATGAGAGATGATACGAATTCAGTATATGCAACATGAACATATGAACAAAATCACAGAGCAAGCACGTTGGGCTGCTCATTGATGCGCTACCTTTTGAACAATTTTAGGACTCACAGCAGTATGCCTACAACCTTTCTCAGATTGGCGCCGTAGTTTGGAAAATTCTCAGGAGGTTCATCCTCTGACTCTCGACTCTCAGCACCTCCCAGTAAAGAGTTTCCTAATCAAAAATTAAGACGAATTTAACCAGAGGAATTTGTCCATGTCTACGATATAAAGTCGAAAATATTCGGAGCACGATTTGAGAGTTTTCTACATAATAGTAATAACAGTGAGTTTGTTTGAAACAGTATTGTCGATTCAGTCTGAAAATTTTAGCATGTTACCATAGAGTATTGAATCTAACGTTCTGTTGGTATAGTATAGTGAGGCGAAATACAAGATTAACAGTGGTAACACAGCTTGAACG